GCCAAAACGCAGCGTCGAAGCTCCAATTTGGAGCGGGCGAAGAGGAGACCGACGACGTAGCTTGTTCGTTAGAGGCCGCGAAACGGATGAGAACAACGAGGATCGCGATCCCGACGACAGATAAACGCGAAAAATCGTGAATCGCCGAGCACGGCTTTGGACATACTCCAAATTACGATATTCCTGTCACGACAATGAGTTATATTCGGCGATAGTTCGCGGCCGCACGCGTGTCGCCGCGGCGCAGCCTATTTTTATTTCACTTTCGCCTGTGACTCGCGTTGCAGGTTTGTCGTATACGAAACATCGCCGACAGTTGTACGCTCGTGCGGTTGCACAACGCGTTGTCACGAGTCACGATCGAGTGCGGAAACGGTAACGCGAGCCGTAGTTCGGGGACACCCGGTGTATCGACTGACGCTGCCGTATGATTTATTAACAGCTGCGCGTGCGTTAACGAAGAAATTCTTTGGCGAAAGGAAACCGAACTTTGCGCCACGATGATAAGGAGAAATTTCGGCTTTTAAGTATTCAACACCGGCGCGACGCGGCGCGTCAGCCTGTTTCGTTTCGAGACGTTACGCGCGTTGTCCCCGTTTTATTATTCAACGGGTACGCGGTATTTATTCGACGCCTCGGAACATCTGCGACCGACTCGGGACGTTTCATCGAGGACCCTGGGACACTGCGGAGCGATAAGGGGAATCGATTTTCCCAAGTTTCGATAACGGCGAACCCCTTTAAATCTCGGCTAGCTCCGGGAGGGCGCGGAGGCGAGGGCGACGGTGAGGGCGAGGGCGACAGCTAGGGAACCGTGGAGGGGAAGAAAAACACGCGGAGGGCGCCACGCAATAAGGGTCGACGACCCCGAGTGCCTGCCACCTGTACGGTCCTGACCGAGCCAGTTCCCCTTTTCGGCTCCGATGTGGGTCACCACCACTCAGCACGCCTCCTCGGCTAAAAAGGGAATGTGCGCTCTCGCGATATGGAAATCGAACTACACCCGGGGGCCATTGTGCGCACGGCACGTGCACGCGTCCGCGGAGAACGAACGCCACCGGGACCTACGAGACACCCATTGTGCCGAGGGATCATCGTTCAACGTCCGTTCCGAAGACCGTCGTTTTCCTTCGAGCACGCCTAACAGCGGAGGCAACTAGTTTCGGAGCCACCTGTGCGCTAGGGTCAACGACTGGAAACCCCGCCAATGGTAAAAACGGAACTCCGAAACTGCTGAATATCAAGTTCACCCGGTATGTGGGTCACCGCGATAGGCTTCGTTAGCGGGCGGCATAGGCGAGATTCGATTTTGCTGTTTCTGGCCACATTCCTTGCGTGTCCCTGTATGCGGGAGACCCGATTGGTCGCGCACATACGCCGACGTGGACAAAAATTCATGGTTCCATCGATCCTGATCGAAAGGGTAAACAAGTTCTGCCGAATAACTGAAATACGAGCCTCTGATACCGATTCTGAAAGAGGTGCGTCTACGCCGGTGGCAGCGCAGGGTCCCGAGCAGAAACAGTGGCCCCTAAAAAGTATATTAACGAACGACGAAGCCATTTTACGAAATTCGAACGGTTTAAATTTCGAAAATTCGGACATTTCGAACAGGGAGAACCAACGTATTTACATTAGGCACGCATTAGCGTACGTGGGTGCGCGCAAGGCCGGTCAGCTGTTCGAACGACGTCCTCCAGACGCGAAATCCTCGAGCGCAGCGTACCGCGTCCTCGAGACGATTCCGTTCCTCGACCTCGTGGAAACGGGGCTAACCGTGCGAGACGGTGTGGTTCCGTGGACGAGAACATGGCGGGGGAGGCAGGGTTGATTGGGCAAAACGCGAATTAGGTTAGGTTGCACTCTCTCGGTGACCCATGCACGGGGGTTGCAGCCCCTCGAGACTTGAAACGATAAATATCGAAAGCTAAGCGAGACGATCACCCCTGAAAATGCGATATTTTCGGTAGGACGATACGACTGTACGATAAGAAAAATCCCGGAGAAAACCGTGTTCGGGATTAGGGTGGAAAAGCGTGGTTCGGAGGGTCAGTGAGAACGCTGGCAGGTCGATAGCAATGGCGCCGCGAAGCTACGGAGAAAATCAATCCGCTATACGACACGCGACGTGTTTTCACGTCGGTCGCCTATCTATACGTTCCGTCTAATCCGCGTTTCTATCTGGTCCTGGCTCGTTTCTGCATCGCGGAATAAGTATTAATCGTCGGGAATCTGTCCGGTCGCGGAAGATAACGGGTGCAAAACCGGGGAGGAATGGAAATGCGACGGGAATTATAGGAGAGCAACGCTGACGTTACCGACCGAGGTGGCCGGAAAAGACGAGGCCGCAGGGCCACGCATATACGCGCAACACACGCACGCAGAGGGGCTCTCACGACTCGACTCGACTCGACTCGGACTCGACTTGAATCGCGCGCACACACACGCATGCACACCGACACGACGCATCGTAATGCAAGGCGGCTCGGAGAACCGGAACACGTCCGGACTGGACACGCACCGGGAACGGTAAGATCCCGACGTTCGATTTTCGCTTGAACGAAAACGAAGAAAACAGAAAATGCATGATGGATGTTTTATCTTACTTTTGATCACTCGTTCCGTAGTGGAGAGCTTCTGCGGCGTGTCGTTTGAGGTCATGCTGTATCAGGATGGTTGACGGGTGGGCGCCGGCCTCTCGCTCTCTTTCTCTACTCTATTTCACTTGTTCCTCTTCCCCGGTCGCCGCAGGATCTCTCGTCGCACACTCTCACTCCCTTTCTCACTCGCTCTCGCTCGCACTCGACCACTCTCTCTATCTCTCTCTCCCTCTCGCGGTCTCCTCCGTCGGCGTGTCGTGTCGTGATCGTGTCGCGTTGCGTATATTTTCCTTTTCCCTCGTTTCCCTTTTCTTTCCTTTTCCCTTTTTCCTTCTCCTTCCTCTTCCACTGGCCGTAGTTACTCGCGCGAGGTAGCACCTTCCTCTCGAACGGGGGGTTGGGTGGAAGGAGAGGGCGGTATTTTCACCTCGAGAGCCCGGCGCGGCACACACACAAATACACACGCGCGCGAGCGCGCTCCCTCTCGGAGTGGGGGCTGAGGGAGGAGAGACGGGGGAGGGGGTCGGAGAGGTGACGGAAGTTATCGCACGGTGCGGCACATCGGTGGCTACGGAGCGTTGTTCATTGGGCGTTTGCGGAGTGAGAATATTATTCTGCCGTGTCCCTCTCGCTCCCCGTAGTATTTACGACGACACACGACACGGCACACGCAAACGCAACGCAACTGCACACGCACACGCACACACCGGCCGACCGATCAGTGTGCCCTCTCTCTCTCTCTTTCTCTCTGGATCTCTCTCTCTCTCTCTCTCTATCTTTCTCTCTCCCTTTCTCTCTCGAGCTCTGTATTTCTATTTCTCCTTCTCTCTCCTTCTCGCTCCGCTCTTCTACTCTGTCCGTCTCTCTCGTCTCCTCTTCTTCGTGTCCGTCTTCGTCTTGTCGGCGAGCGTACGCTCTCTGGCGTTCTCGGTCTCGTTCCCTCGCTCCCTCTGCCCTCCCGAGCCGAAAGGTAACCACCAACGCCTTTTGCGGGGCGAGTAACTGGATCGCTGGACCACGCGAGCTGCACGGCCAGCACGACGGAGCCTCGCGCGGGGCACCGTCAACACCTGACAGACGGGACACCTCCGCGAAAACGACAGCCGCCGTTCCTCTTCAATCCCGATCTCGATCTCGATCCCGATCGCTCGCGATGACTTTTCGTTAAGAAGAAGAGAGTGCAGCGCTGCCGTACAGGAATGACAATGCGAGAGCTGCGCGCGGCCTGACCACTGGCAGAACTACTACGAGGACGGCGACGACGGCGACGACGGCGACCACGACGACGACGACGACCACGACCACGGTCACGGCGGCGACGATCACGACGGGGCGATGATCACGACGACCGCGACGACACCGTAATTACCAGCACCGCGACCACGAAACCGTGACACCGACACCCACGGTCGAAAACACCACCGCCGCTAAATTCTACTACAAGATGTCTGTCTGTCTGACTCTCCGCGGCGCGCACACTGACGGCTCACTCCGCGGCTACGAGACGGTCGCGCAGTCCTCCACGCGCACCGATCATTCGAGACCGCTGATTGGCCAAGCCGCCGCCAGCTGCCGCCACCCGCTCCGCGGTACCAACCGTCATATTTTTATCCGTTAGCAGTGCGAATTCAAACCGATTCCTATCGCTCTTTTAATCCACAATCGATCCAAACAGAAGTAATGATATCTAGACCGCGGATTCTACTACGGTAACGAACAGACGAATGTTTAGAGAACAAATCGATCAAATAGAAATGCTACGATCTATTTCGTTGTGTCGAAATGCTGTCTGGGTTTCTGCTTCGACATGATTAACACGGTGAGTGCTACGGAACTTACAATTCGATGATGGAATTGTTCATGTTTTCTTAAAAGATAGTTTCTATGCTGATGCTGTCACAGTCATTGTTTCATCGAACAAATTGCTCTGATTTTATGGTCAGTCGACGTGTTAGGATCAACAGCCTAGACTTTTTTCCATAATTTTGTAGAACTTCTATTTTTAAGTACATACATCCTGTAGTATGTCTACGTACGTTACATTCTTTAAGGAAAGTTTGTGTAATTCGTTAACTCTACTACGGCATCTCTTGTAGCCATCTGTGTCATCTGTCTTACCACAAAACTTACACCGAATAACCGCCAAACGAGGATCGACTACATAGAAAATGGTTTTTACCTTCCGTTTACAAGGAAATACAGCTGAAGCATTATTTTTCGACCAAGAACCGGGTTTTCTCACAAAATCTGCGCGCCTCCGAGCACTATACCGCCATGTTTGAAAAACTGCACGCTGAACAGAGATTGGCTTGCATTCGTCGGATCGATTCTCGTCGAAAACGTTGGTAGCGACGCTAGCGACAGTCGATACGGTGAATTTGAAAAAAGAGGCGCGAAGCGTGAGTGGTTTATTTTTGCTTTTATTAGGATTAGAATCTCGTTGTGTGCACGAGAGCACGAATTAGACAGGTTACCCTGTGACAATACTTTAATACAGAAGTTTCGGTCTCTTCTCCACCCACGCCTTGATGCTCGGTATGGATAAAATCTTCTCTTTTAAAGCCTTCAAGTTGGGATGCTCTTTCGTAATGTCGGACTCGTATGCGGTGGTTATGGAGTCCGAGATAGCGACGAAGAAGAGGTCCGCGTAGCTCAACTGAAACAAACGATCTACGATTAACACTCGATATTAATTATCGCTAACGTGCCTCTATCGAATCGATCAGTTTTAAATACGTTTAAATTATTTTATTTAATCTAATTATACATAAAGATTCGCGGTATATTAACAAATGATATATTCACCTGTCCACCATGCAGGTATCCGTCGTTCTTCTGCACCAGAGCTTCCAACGTGTTCAGATAGAATGGTATCACCCTGGTGAACACGTCCGTCTTCTTTTTGGCTTTCAGGACCGGATCGGTTTCCCTGTAGTAGTTCGATATAACGACTGCGAAGAGCACCGTGTGCCAGAGAAGGAGAGAGAGAGAAAGAGAGAGAAAGATTCGAACGTTATTTACATAACAAGCATCGCCAGAAAGAAATCAATTTGTCCGGCGAACGAATCAATATTTACGTCTCCTAAAGTCGTGGAGGGCGTTCGCGATGCCGTCGATTTCCAGGTCGTCGAGATCGGTCTTCCCCCGCAAACGAAACTGTTTGGCCAGGTATTGGCAGATTGGCAGCGTCTGCGAGTAAACTTTCCCGTCGATTTCCAACGTGGGCACTTGACCGAACGGGGTCGCTGGAACATTGTACAAAATCTCGGTGTTAAAAAATCCCTGGCGTTAAACTCACTCCTTAAAATTCGAGATTTGTCTGCAGTTACTTGTCTTCGTTGTCGTCCATTCGGGCGACGAGTGCTCCAACCGGACGTCCTCGAAGTCGACGCCACCGTAGGTCAACAGGAACCTGATGGGCTCGCCAAGACCCATCACGTTGAAATACGTCAACTTGTACTTTGCCATCTTCGCTGATCCTAAAGACGTAAGGCCCAGAAAGATTGCTCTGAAATTCGGTTCTTCACACTTTTATTCACTGCACGTGCGACAGAGTGGAATTGCCAGCTAGAACCGCAGACTAACCGCTTTCCAAGGTTAGCCTGGGATTATATATTTCCCCTACTTTGGCCCCGTGAATTATCTTCGTCTGTGTCTTATCTGAAAGGCCCTCTTTGTCCACTAGGGGCCTTCCATTGGCGCTCCGCTTCGGAGCACGCGTCTGCTGCTCTCTATACTTTCACTTCTGTGAGTAGCATTCTTTGCTGGAAGTTGAGGACTCGGCTGCCATAAGCGTATGCGAACGCTATTCATTCTACAGATTCATCCGCGGTTACGTAATCGATTAGAAAAAATGATCAAGGCGCCTCTGTTCTCTTTTCGGCACTGGAACGATCTGTGATCCATCGACTCGGTCAGCTTCCTCCGAAAGATCTCGAATAAGAATACAAAGCTATGGCCATCCCGACGATCCATAATCTGTCGATAAGATAAAATCTGTCGTAAAATGAAAACATTGCAATCCTTTTCACCGCAACAGAATGCGAGAAGTATTGCAAGGAGAGATACGCGATAATCTTCGATTGGATATTTTTTCCGTAGCCCGCTGAAGTGAGTCTCGAGTGTGGATCGGCTAACCAATCTGGCGATCGGCGGCCCCCGGAGCACATTCAATCAGAAACTCTTAATCAGGCTCGGTGAACGAAGAGTTAGTTTCGAGGTTGTCGCCGATAAAAAGCTCGCTCGAACAGGCGGTCTTTGTTGTGAAAAAGATGATGAGCGGCCGGCTGCTCGTCTTAATTACGATGATCGCGCGATCAGTGGGCCACCACGAGAATGATTTGCCCGTTGACAAACGGCTGCCAGATGACGTGGTGCCCAGCGATTATGTGATCGCGATCGCGCCCGATTTCCAGAACCACGATTTCCACGGATCCATTCGCATCGACATGGAGATATCTAACGTTAGATCGCTTTTCTTAAGATCCTACGCTTCCTATTCCGGACATTGATCTCCGCAGGCTCGAAGCTCCATCGTGCTACACTCGAGCAACCTGACCATACTTTCGACGAAGTTGTACTCTCGAGCGTCGCGAGTAGAGGTGCCCCTGAAGTCGGTGACAGTGATAGATCAACGCGAAATGCTGGTCATCAGGACGCTCGACGTCGCTCTATCCGGCCAGTACTATCTAAAGATAAATTTCACGGGCAGTCTAAAGAGAAAATTGACCGGGTTCTATCTGAGCAAATACACCGACCCCGGCGGATCCACCAGGTAGGCCAGATCTACCAGCTTTCCAGAGGTAACGCTGATTCAAATTATTCGCAGAGACTTGGCGAGCACTCAGTTCGAGCCAACCTACGCGAGAACCGCTTTTCCCTGCTTCGACGAGCCGCGGTTCAAGGCCACGTTCCTGATCCGCACTCTTCACACCGAGAAGCTGTACCACGCGTTGTCGAACATGCCAGTATCGGTGAGTCGGAACCGTCGCCTACGGAAACCTGGAGCTCGGCGCACGATTGTTGCAGAGAACGGAGACGATGAAGGAGGACGAGTCCGCCGTAGCGACGTTCTTCGAAGCATCGCCGCCGATGTCCACGTACCTGGTGGCGTTCCTGGTCAGCGACTTCGAGTGTCTAGAGTCGTCCTTGAGAACGCTGAGCGGCAATAGCATACCGGTGAAGGTCTGCGCGAGGCCGATGTACAAGAACAAAACCAGGTTTGCGTTGGACGTGGCCGTCAGGACGATGGAGTACTACCTGACCGTGTTCAACATCGACTATCCTCTTCCGAAATTAGGTACCTCGGATCTATGTCTAATCGTTTAGCGTTCTTGATCCTAAAACTGTCGATCGTTCAGACCTGGTAGCTATTCCCGACTTCAACGCGGGCGCCATGGAAAATTGGGGCCTGGTCACTTTCAGGGAATCCGAATTGTTGCACACCGACGACGACAGCTCCTTCGCGAACACAAGAAGCGTCTGCTGCACGGTGGCCCACGAGCTGGCGCACATGTGGTTCGGCAATCTGGTCACCATGAGCTGGTGGAACGATCTGTGGCTGAACGAGGGGTTCGCGACTTACATGGAGCACATGGCCGTAGACTTCTTGTTTCCCCGGTGGAACCAGGTCGATCGGAGTAAGCCATAATGATCGCGCGGAAACTCACGGATCGGTTTGTTCATTAGATAGACTCCTTCCCGTTGCACACCAAGTACGTCGCCATGAAACACGACGGCAAAGCTCGCGCCAGGCCTATAGTGAAGAGGGTGGAGGACCCCGAAGAGATTCTCGAGATGTTCGATCGGATCTCGTACCAGAAAGTATGTCGCTTCGATTCTCCGCTGAAGAATTGTTTGGAAAGTCGTTTCAGCTGGTATCTAAAAGAGTTTAAGGTGATTTAGATGGGTCAAATTTCGCAGGCTGCGGCCGTGATCAGGATGCTGGAGGACGCGATTGGGAACTCGAGATTCGTCCACGGGATCAGAGACTACTTGCTGACCTACCGATTTCAAAACGCAGCCTCGCGGGACCTGTTCGAGATTCTGCAAAACAGCAGTCGTATCGGCATCGACATGGCCGACTTTATGAGCCGATGGACCGGTTTCGCCGGATTTCCGGTGATCAACGTGGTCCAGGAGAAGAAGATCTTCAGGTTGTCGCAGCGGCGATTCACGGCAAGCAAGAAGCTGCACGAGACTCTCGAGTACGTAGCGCAACTTTGTGCAGAAGGTGACAAGAACGTTACACGATCGTTGCAGCGACGGTAGCTGGACCATTCCTGTGAAGTACACAACCAGCGATAGAAACGGCGCGAAGCTCGATTGGTTTCTGGCGAACTTCTCTTGCGGTAATAATCGCGATCGAATTGATTTAGAGGGGAACAAGGACGGCGCATCGCGTTCGCCGTTTTACGCCGCGATGGGTAATTGACCTGATTGCAGTGGAACTGACTCTGGAGGAGAGGGTGGATTGGATTAAACTGAATCACAGGTCCGTCGGGTACTACGTCGTTAATTACACGGAGGACGCGTGGAACGTCTTCGCCTTCTTGCTGCGCGACAATCATCGGGTACGTTTCGATCCGACGAACAACTTTAAAGACTAGCTTCGACCAACAGTTCGAACGATTAAGACGGCTGCTAGACGAGATACGTACAAAGTATCTGTCAATTTCAGGCGCTAAGTCCCACGGACAGAGGCGATCTGCTGCACGACGCGTTTCTGTTGGCAGACGCTGTGGCTTTGAATTATGGCAGCGCGATGAACCTGTCCGTCTATCTCTCGAATGAGAGCTCCTATCAGCCATGGGCCGTGGCTGTCGACTGGTTCGGCCAAATGAACAAGTTGCTGGCCGGAACGAAGTCGCACAATCGTTTCCAGGTAGCCTAATTTCTTCGATTCGTTAGCGATAGCTCGGTTCATGCCGGATTTTTCTAGCTGTACGCGAGGAATCTGATCGATCGAATCTATCGCCGATCGGGATGGCTGGTCGGGGTGGAGAGGTCGCCGTCGAACAGGTTGGTCCAGCACCGAGCTAATTTTCGTCGACGTAGAAAGATATTTTCAAGCCTGATTAAATGAACCTTCGGCTTATTACGCATTCGGGATTATTATACAACAACGTAGAACTGTGAGTCCACGTGTATGATGTATTGATCAATTAGCGGGGAAGGTATTAACGCGTTGACCGTGATGGTTTCTGCGATAATCAGCTTCCTACAAATTAATTAACATGAAAACAGCGCCGTTAGTCGGCCGCGTTGCATAATGTACGCTGCCGTTGTACGATGGAAACGCATACAGATACACACATTCTGTTTCCTGCTTCGGTATAATCAGCGGAGCAAAGATTATGCGACTGATAGCGCCGATAAAAATTCGGGGACAGAATTGAAGAGGGAATCTTCGTTTGATTTACGTCGGTCGCGAAAACGAAGAAAAATCCGAAGAAAAATCCGAAGAAAATTCGGAATTTTCTTGTACAAGGAAAATCGAAAAGACGTTGCGATCGTTTTTAAGAGAACTGGGCGTGCTGATACTGCACGGAGCTTGCATGGTGGGCCACAAGCACTGTCTAAAGACAGCCGAGAGAAAGCTGCGAAGCTTGCTCGACGGTGAACCGCTGCCGGCCGACATCCGGTCCGTGGTCTACTCGTTCGGTGAGGGAGAAAATATAAATATAAGTGGCCTGTTCTTATTATTTATGGCAGGATGGTTGCGACAGGTCTCGCCACGCAATCCGCCGACGCTGAATCGATATTCGAGAAGATGTCGAGGCTGCTCGCGACCGAGTCCGGCCCGCAAGAAAAGGAACGGCTGATCGTCGGGCTGGCCGGCGTGCAACAGAAAACTCTCCTAGTCAGGTCCGTCGACTTCTCCCATTCAATTACAGGCTAATTACTCTTCCCGCTATCTCCTGCCCTCGCTTATCAACGGCCGCGGTATTGTCTCTTTTATTTATGGAACGTTCGGCTGATTACACACTGGAGATCAATTCCAGTAAACAACCGAACGCTCCATGGAAAAGAAATCGTACTAAACGAATCTTTAGCTCCTCAGCTCTTGTTTCATTAACCTCTTGACTCGCGATTTCAATGAGAGATACTATTTAGATTTTGGTTTATCGTTTCTGTAAGAGAAAGGATACGAATTCGAAGTTGACGCGTTGCTAGCGGTATTTGCCGATGATGTTGAACGATATTTTGTCAATTTTTCACGACTATTTTAAACGTCTTTGGGTGTCTTGCGATTAAATAGATCACGCTGTTAACCCTTCGTGATTTTAAGAAATTATAAAATCGTGATATGTAAATGCCGACCTTGAATCGACGAAGTTTACTTGGTACACGCGGTGTTTACTCAATGGTGTTTTATGCTTCCATGTGCGGGTAAAAAAATGTTATATTTACAACGGAATATCCTATGGCTTTGTTAAAGATAGACGTAGGGCAGAGGAAAGTTTCGACCTTCGACGGTGTTTAATATAACCTGTCAATGTAGTACCGCACTTCCATGTACTTCGCCCTACTAGCCGGCGAGCCATGGAAGATTTACACGTTAAATATATAATCGTATATTTAACATAACAATTTCTCCCCTGCGAATCTAGATGTCTCGAGCTGGCGACCAACGAGAACCTCGTCCGCAAGCAGGACTTCGGACCTATTTTGATCAAGATGGCTTCCGGTCCCGTTGGACTCAAGATGGTCTGGGATTTTATACGGTGCGAACTCTTTGAAAACTCAACGATAAAACGATCACGTTGAAGATTGAACAATTGCCCGTAGATCCCGGTGGGACAGTCTCAGAGGAAAATATATCGCGGAGGGCTACAATTTAGGGAAGACCGTTCTAGCGATCGTCTCGTTGTTCAAGGACAGACAGATGTTGCGCGAGGTTATCTCAATCGACAATTCGTTGCATCGAATTTTCTTAATCGTGCGCTTTTCAGGCGACACGATTCCTTCGGTCCAACAAAGATCTCGGCGTGACGGAGGTCGCGAAGAAAACCGCAATCGAGGAGATCGAAAACAACATCGACTGGCTGGCTGCGAATCGACGGATCGTAGATCGATGGCTATCGGCCAATGGCATCGATTAAACGCTATTTTTCTTTCTGCTTGGTGTACACCGCAATTTAGAAAGCGTCGGACCAGGATCTGTCTAAAATCTACCGCTTTCATGAAATACTTTCGACTCGTTTGATTCAATTTTGTTTTACACCCTTTTACAAAGACGCCCGCTTAAAAAGAATCAGTGAAATCGGTTCGCAGAAAATTCTGCTGCGTCATGCGAGAGCGAAAGGTGTCATTAGAGGATTAAAATAGCACAAGCCGTATTCTAGACACCTTAGCAGACTCGTTACCGATTAATTATCTAATCGGCGGATCCTGAAAAAAATCCGAGCTCTGGCAATGCCGAGGCATCGCGCGCAGCGGGGGAAGGGAGGTCGTTTATCGTCGGCTTTATCGAAAATTTCTTTCATTACTCACTGTCGACACAGCTAACCCCGGTAAACAGCAGACGCCTGCCGCTCACTGTCAGACCGATAGGCAGTCCGCGAGGCGAATGATTCCTCCGCGCTACTCGACGCGAGTGCATCTCCAGTGTTCGCCGAAGACGGCCATCTAGATCGAGACCGACCTTGTCCGCTATTCGCGATGCCGAAGATCAATGAAACGGTGCACTACGCGCTTGTCGCGTCCTGGGAGAAGACGGGATGTAAGATCGTCGCTGATTATCCTACGAAACGGGACCCAGCGTTCAGGGCCATCGCCTTGAGCACGGTCGATGGCTTGAAGTCGGTGGAGAACGACAGGATCAGCCTCGATCGGGGCAAGTAAGAGAATTCTTGGCTGATGGCTGGTCGACTATCGTTTAAGTGTCTCGTGCAGACGGTTCAGGTTATTTATCAGTTATACTGCTGCATTTGAATGATTATTTTCGAAATTATCGAATCGATCTCGGTCGATCTTTCGTGTGTCCATATCTTCACCAAATTCATTTCCCAATTATCGTAGGAAAATAATATTAAATGAAAACCGTGGCAGGTGTCGTCCGACCGATCGGTCTGATAAAAATGCTGTTGAAACGAAGCATATTCCTTTCAGATACACCGTGCACGTGTTAATCGGCGAGCTGCACTACGCCTGTTTGACCTCGAAGCCGGAGTGTCCGTCCTCGGCAGCGACCTTGGAGTCTCGCAGCTATTTCTTCCTGGAGAAGTTGAGGAGCGTGTACAGGGAGCTGCCGATCCTAGCAGATCTCTCGAAAGACCTGGCCAAGCTCGCGCTGACGGATCTTTCTCAACCGCTGAAGAAGATACTGGTACGTCGACCAACTCTTGTCACAGGCTCGACAAGGATTTAACGGAGTACCGTTTCAGGAGGAGTACAATCGGCAGGAGCTGGAAATCATGCCGAGGCTGGAGAACGAGCTCTCGGAGATTCGGAAGGCGTTGATGGACGGTGTACAGAAATTGATCGACAGAGGTCAGAGGTTGGACGAGCTGGTGCGCAAGACCCAGTCCCTGCAGATCATGGTACGATCGATCGACCCTCGTAGCTCTCGTAGCCTTCGTATCACGATCGACCATCGCGGTTTTCCTCGTATTAATAATTAGAAGTTCGATGATCTTCCTGAAAGGAGAGAACTATTAGCGCAATTATTCTATTATTTATATTCTATATTCGAAACTATTCTATTCTATCTACGTTCGCACGTTTGGTATCAAGAACAACTGTTGCTGGTCCATGGAGTAGATTTTGTTTGAAATGTTCGCGAGGAGACCGACGATTGAGACGATAGAAACGGCTCCCTTTGAACGGCAAAGGAGTGCAGTGCGTTTCCAGCGTTGAACCGAGTTGCCGGGGAGTTTAACGTGTAATTAGCTTATGGCTCGTTTGTTAAAGTAAGCGAGGAGAGCAAACTTTACATTGAATAACAACGCGCCGAGTTAAATATCACGGATTCGTAAATATCTCAGGTTCGTAATCGTCCGTGTTGTTTATTTGCCCAGGGTGGTTGCGATTACGCTATTTTATGTAGAAACGTCGCGTCGCGGAGATAGCCGGCTCGCGTTAATTACGAGAATATCGGAGAACGTTTAACAGACGTATTTTTACCCGACTCGTTCCCGTCGTTGTTCGTTCCGCGCGACCTCGAAAAACAATCTGATCGCATGTATACCTGGCGTGACACCAATTGTATCTCGATTCCGTAGTCTCGGAAGGACTTCCACATGATGAAGACGGCCGAGAAGGGGAGGAACATCGGCGCCACTATAGTCACCATTTTCCTGATGATCGTGTTCGTGTCGCTTGTCGTGCTGCTGTTCTACGTCCGGATCTTTTGACCGTCGAGCGCGAAACGGTTGCTCGAATTGTACGAGAAAATAAATTATTTATTTACCTGGACCATACGCTCCAAACGATAATAATAAGTCTCCTCGAGCTTACAACGGCTTACGATCGATGAGATTCCGAAAATTTCACTGTGCTCCGAGCGATCTGTTCTTGTTTCGCTAATCGATGTCGGAAGCGTCCGAGTCCAAACCGAACGTCGTCGCCAGACTTTCTAGCTCGGAGGATCAACCATGGTATCGGTGCTGCGGTTCGCCGTGGATCCCATCGATCTCCAGAAGGAGATCAAGAGGAGGGACGACTACGCCGAGTCGATCAGACGCGAGCTTTTTATCGCCGCCAGGAAAATACAGGTTAACGCGGGAACAATGAAAAGAAGAATCGATAACCTCGGATGTTATCGTTCGCGTTCGACTATGACGGGCGAAAATCTGCGAATAACAAAACGAAGCGTCGGGACCGTAATTTACGCCGCAGATATCGATGTTTATGCTGAAGACCATGACACCGCGTCATCTTCTCCCGCCGTGCCAGTTTGAATTTATCCACGAAACTCTCCTCGCGTCGCGTCGCGTCGAGGTCTCTGCGAAAACGATTTTTCGACGCGGATCGTGCTCTTGAAAAACGTTGTTTCCGCGTCCTATTGTCGCTGAAACAGTTTACAAATTACCAGCAAATTACCTTTACGCCTCGGTGAAACGAAATTCGTGTGAAAATGTTCGCGGGAACGAGGTCTGTCCGAGAAGCGATTCGTTGTCGGTGATTTGGAAGCGACGGATACCAAATTCCGTAGCTTAAAAATGTCGTTTAAAAGTTCATCTTTTGCCGTTTAAAGCCTTTTATTCGAACGCTAGGCGCGATCGATGCAGAGTTTCGCGAACAGAGTAGTCACGTTTCAGGCATGGATCCGTGGTATACTGACCCGTAAGCATCTCCGATTACTGTGGAGAAGCGCGATTATTATTCAAAAGCATTGGCGTGGTTATTATGTCCGGAGTTTCGCGGATCGATACCTGGTCGAGCGTGTTCATCGGATGTGGCAGGATTATTACGATCGAATGGCGACGAGGATCCAGGCGGCCTGGCGGGGTTACTGGGTCAGGAAGACGGTCCTCGATATTCCGAAGATGCGACGCTGGCTCGAGAACGTTTCCAAGAAGAACGAGGAGACCGTAGAGAAGATGAAGAAGTCTGTTTTCGATCGGTCGACGGAACTCGTTTGTCGGTGTCGAGAATCTAAATTCGTGTCTCGTCAGATTCAGGCGGAAGGAGATCGAGGATCGTGAGCGGGCGGTGGAGCTCGACTCGATGCAGTGGATCCTGTTCATCCTCTTCAAGGTAACATCACCCTGTCTATCCATCTCGAGAAGATCGTGAAAAGAATATTTTCGACAGCTCCACCACCTGCTGCGAACGAAGCAACGGCCAGGCGTGGTCACGAGGATCGACAAGACCCGCTTCACGTTCATCGAGCAGATGTTGAAGTGCTTCGAGTACAAGAGCTACACCGGCAGGGACGCCGTCTGCTGTCACGACTGCGACATAGATCCGAAAAGATCGTCGATCTTCCGCGGCACCTACTACGAAAGATGCGAGAGAGAGATCCGCGAGATCGAACGGAAACTAAGAACCGGGGCGGTGCCGGTCTTCAGAAGTAAGTTCCGGGATGACGTTCTTCGATCGAGACCTAATTTCTACCTCGGACTTCAGGCTTCCCGTACGAGAAGCAGGAGGAGATGTTGCGTGCGGAGACCAGACAACGTAGACAGGCGACGTTGCACGCTGGGGAAGGCGAAAGTCGAACGAAGGCGGTAGCCGATCGCGACGGTCGTCGTGAGATGTCGGATCTCTACGACAAGATCAAGAAGATGGACTGTCAGTTAGGTCGGGCTCGGCTCAAGTGTCCTATCCACGCCTGCGTTCTCCAAACGCGGCCTCTTCCGTAGTTATGGTAAAGTTCTAAACGATGACAGTTACGTGAAAACTATACATTTTATTTGACACACGTTACGTCGGCGCTAGATACAAAAGAAACTACATAAACTATGCGGGGCTATCGATGAACCAACTACTCGTCGGGATCAATTGAGAAATGACGCTGGATCAGGCTTTGCAGGAGAGCGGCACGTTGATCGACCATGACGCGCTGATCGGTTTCTGGCTGAGGTCGGGGTTGGCACCCTTCTCGATCCTCTTCTTTAACTTGAGCGACGCCTCGTTCCTCTCGATGCAATGGTACTGGTACATCTTGTCTTTGGTCTCGGCAGGGGAGCAACCCGGCGCGCAGGTTACGACCGGTCTGATGGTGAAGCAGAGCTTGTCTTCGTGCTCCTTCACCTGGGTCCTATGGATGATGCATTGCTTTCCAGACGGTTCTTCCCCGCTATGTTGGTAGCCGAACTTCTCGGTGTTCTCCCGCCCGACGTCGATGTCGCTGATTACGTTGCTCTGCCTGTTGTCGGAGTGCGGCGTGCAGTGGTCGTAAACCAGCTTAGCGTTCTCCAAGGACGGTCCTTCGCACTCGTTCTTGGTAAGCGCGTACGACGCGACGAATATATCTGGCTTTCTTATCGCGCAGTTCTTGGGGGCCCAAAAGTCGTTGGTCTCCTCGCCGTCGAAGTTACCGCAGAGACCGCGCACGGAGTAGCGGTAATCGTCGGAAGCCTGCGGAGATCGCACGGAATATGATTAGAGGATCCTTGATCGGAGGACACGCCGAAGATGAGGGCTCTGACTTACCTTGATCAGAATGCGCTGGCCGTCGTAGATCACTGTAACTTCTTGCTCGGTGCCCATCACGGCAATGGAGTCGTCGGCCAGTCTGACGATCTCCAACATCACATCGTAATCTTCCTGGTGCTGGAAGCCTTTGTCCTGCGTGACCTCCAGCAGTTTTGAGTCCAACCACGCCTCGGGTCTGGAGCCTTTCATTTTCAATTCGAGTTGTCGTTCACCGAGCATGATCTTGACCTCCTTGTGACCGTCCTCGGTCTCCCTAGCCAGGATGCTGACGCTGGTGTCCTTGGGGATGCGCAGCTTCTCGTCCTTATTCTCCGGGTTCTGTTTCCTGTAAGTGGTCATGATCGCGTGCCAGCAGTTGCCCAGGTGCACCGGGTAGTTGTTACTGTCGAACGTCTCGACCCTGGTCTTGTCGACGACGCAGGAATCTAAGAGAAACGCGCTCGTAAGAAAAATCCTGTTCACCCTCGCCTAACCTTGACCAACGTCGAATTACTTACTCTCCAGATTATCGTCCATCACGTCCGCGACGTTGCTGTCCTCCACCATAAAGTCCTGCGGGTTAAGGTCCAGCATGCTCAGTCCCAGTTTGTTCACCTTGATGTCCGAGTCCGACGTGTGGATGGTCAAGTCGGCCGTATCCAGATCTTGAGACAACTTGATCTTCATGTCGATCGCGTTCTTTTCAGCATTCACCGGGTGCGCAGTGTCCACCTGGGTGTCCAGGTATTCCGTGTTGCCGATGGCGTCCACGACCTTGTTGACGAAGTATCTGAGCACCTCCGATTCGATGCTCAAGCTAAATTTGTACTCGTCGAGCATCTTGATGGAAGCGGCCGCTTTCTGGCACTCCTTCAGGATCTTGTTGCCTTGGTTCATCTGCTCCAGGCAGGTCTTCACCTTCGGAGACTTGAGCAATTGCTCACGCAATTGTTTACTCTGGACGCCCTCCCCCTTCAGATTCATCTGCTCGCCTTGCTCGCAGGTCGTTCCGAAGCGAATGTCCGTGTCGAATTTCTCCTTCACGGTTAGCTCACGCGCAATTTCGTACGACGGCATCGTGTTCATCGGGACGACTTGGTTCGCGCCGATGCAGACCTGGTAGCTGCTGCTGCTCGACGGCAGAATCGTGTTGAAGAACATCTGGAACTTGCGTTTGTTGTCCATGTTGCTCTCGGCGTAGGCGAACGTCATAGAATGCTGACTCTTGAACTCGCCAGGGATCTGGAACTCCAGATCGAACACGATGGCCTGGGCGGCCTTGATGCCCTCGACGACCTCCGCGAGCAAACCGGATATGCGCGTCGTGTTCGAGCTCGGGTCCTTCGGTGCTACAGCCTTGGCGAGCGGCGACCACTTCTCGGTCTTGACGTCAGGCATCACGTTCAGATCGGTGATGCTCGCCGTGATGGTCAGCGGATCCTTCAGATCCGGATCGATGTTCATGTACAGGTCAGCCTTACGGTACAGGTCGGTCTTCTGGGTCCACGTGAAAATCAGCCTGTCGGCTAAGTCGCCTTCCGACTTCCAGAACTCGTCGTTCTCCTCGTCGGCCACCATCTGCAACTCGAACAGCTCGAGATCCTTCAGCGGCAGAGACTTGGTCTGTCTTCGGGGCTTGCCGAGCAGGATCTGGTGCGTGTTCTTGTCGGTCATCACCGGTTGCATGCTGAGGATGTCGTGCTGCGAAGTGTACGGGATCACGCTGTAGTGGATCATGCGCGCCTTGTGCTCGCCCTTCAGCGGCCACAGCTGCAGCTTCGTGAGGCCCATGTCGGTGGTCGCGTCGAGGCAGACCCTAATCGGGAAGTAAGCCTGGAAGTTCATGTCGACGCCGGCGATGAAGTGCTTGTGCTCGAAGGGAGCCAGGAAACCGACTCTTCCTTGGATCTTCTTCGAGTACGTGGGACGCAGGTCGGCCTTCACGCTGATGCTCTTGTCGCTGCCCATGTGCAGCTGAGCCGTGCCTTGCAGCCGCTTCAGGATGGGTACTTTGAACGTGAAGAGGAACGGCAGGCCGGTTTCCATGGGGAAACTGAGAGTCACTTCGTAGGTGGACATCTTGATCAGGTTCAGTTTCTTTCCGTTCTTCATGTTCAGTCCTCCTTGGGCGATCACTGAAACACATCGCAAGTTTCGTAGCGTGACATACTTTCCAGAGCTAGTTCGCACAGATCATAGAGAAATCAAGCGTTGTATACTCACTTTTGGGGATCGAGCGCAGCATGCGTTTGTCAAAGGGCACGAATCCCGAGGAGAACTTGTCGTCCCACATGAGGTTGCCTTCCACGTCGATGGGTTCCTCGGGGATGATGTTCAGTTCTTCGGCGAGCTTCTCGGTCGGCATTTTGTCGGTCTGCTGCTTCTTCTCGTCCCCGAAGATGATCTTGAAGATGGCCTTCACGTTGGATAGCATGACGGCCGCGTCAGTGGGCGGGGTCTTGAAGTCGCCGTAGCTGTTGTACGAGGCGTAGTGCATGTATTCGGGGATGTAGTTGTCGCTGCTGCCGATGTAGTTCAAGATCTCGATGTTGATAACGTTCTGGCCCTCCTTCAGGCGCTCGGAGATGAACCCGTGGGAGTACCGGTAGCTGTATTCCTCAGGATTCAAGAGATCGACCACGGCGCGTGCCTTGTCGGCCAATTCTTTCCATCTGGTCTGCTGCGCCAACGACTGGATGCTCGACTTGACGGCCGAGTTGACGTGCTTGTTCGTGTCGTAGTTCGTGAACTCCGCCATCCTCTGCAGCATGCTCAGCGGCGGGTTGGTCTTCATCAGCAAGTAGACGGCGGCGCAACGCACCTCGTGGACTTCCATGGTGTTCAGGTAGATCTTGTAGAGAACGGACTGCGCCAGCTTCGGGTTGATCATGGTGAGCTTGTCGAGAGAGGCGACGATCAGCGTCCTCTGGAACGGGGTCATCTTCTCCCTGCCCTCGAGGAATGGCTCGAACACGGCGAGGATCTTCGGGTGAGCAATGGTGCCGAGAGCCAGAATGTAGGTCTGGATCAACGGGGTGTTGTTCTCCTTGACCGCTTTCCTCAGCTCCTTCTCCAAGTAGGGGATGTACTCGTTGACCACCGTGCGATCGTGCTTCGAGATCATGCGACCGAACGCGTGCACCGGGTACCGGTTGTGGACCGTGCGTTTGTTAACCTGGGACTTGCGCACCATCTCCGCGAACGATAAGATCGATTGCACGCGAAGGATTTGATCCTCGAGTACCTCCGAGCAGGTTGCCAGCTCCTGGAAGAGGAAAGAGGATCGCGGGTTAGATCGGACTCGCTGGAATCGCGGCGATTTCTTCTACTTACGAAGAAGGCCCTGACGTATTCGGCGGTGGGTGTGCGCGCGTTCTTCGGCAGCCTGGTCACCACGTCCGCGGCTTCCGTTTCGACGAGCGCGTGGCTCTTGATCCAATCCTTGATGGTCAGCAGGGCGGGCCCTGTGCCGGTTTGGGCCATTGCGTCCCTCAACACCGCCCAGGCGTTCTGCTTCACCGTGTCCTCCTTCGTCTTGATATCGTTGACGAAGCTCGGCTCGATCTCGGCCAGCTTCTTTCTGCTCATGGTGCGCAGCAGGCTGGTCAGCATGGTGAACTTTTCGAGGGTCTCTTCCGTGGGAATGTTGCCGGCGTCTTCCAGCTCGATGGCGATCTGCACCAGGATCTCCTTGGCGGCCTTGGCCGAGTCGACGTTGCCGGTCTGGCCGATGTACTTGCCGCCGACGCCGATGAAGTTCGGCAGCAGAGGATTCTGAGGAGCATCCTCCAGGGTCGGCTTCGGCTGCCAGAATCGGTGTTCCTCGCTGCTCGAGATCGAGCTGCTGGACGAGCTGGACGAGCTGGATCCGCGGATGTTTGGCTTGTCCTTCAGGGCCTCCTCGCTCGAGCTGATCGAGGCGATGCTGTCCGAGGTCAGCAAGTTGCCGCGGTTCGGGTCGCTGTTCCTGCGCTCTGCCGAGTCGGAGAACGGATTGTCGTAGACGTAGACCAGATTGCCGGTCGACTCCGGGTCGGCCGGAGACGGCAGGTGCTGCGAGATCGTGTTCATCTTCGCTAAGGTCAGGTTCACCTTGCTGACAACGAGGCCGATCTGCTCGTCGTAGAAGCGAGGACTGACGAGCATCTTGCTGGTGGTCACGGAGGACTGTATCACGAACTTCTTCAGGCTGCCGGAGATGATCACTCTGCTCGTGGACGATCTCGAGAGGAACTGTCCGTTATCGTTGGAGCCAGGCTCCCATTTGTTCATGCCGCTGAGCCCGAAGTGATAGCCCATCCTCTGCTCGCACCTGCCAAAGTTCTTCGTCTTCATGATGTCGATGTGGTGCCCGTCGCCCTTCAGCTTAGGCATGGGGACCAGCTCCGGCTTCAGCCGAATCATGAAGTCTGACAGAGGCGTGATGTCGTAGCGGACCTCGCACTTTCCGCTGACGGAGTCCTCCATCACCGGGTACGAGCCGTAAGGCTCGTCGTCCTTCGGCACCTGGGTGATCTTCCTGTTCTTGATCGCGTTGGCGCCGAGCGTGTCGAGCTGCAGCTGGCTCACCACGCTCTTCACCAGGTTCACCTCCCAGGTGGGCACGCTCTTGTCGACGATTAGGTCACGGATCACTCCTTGCTTGATCTTGATCTCGAACGGCTTGCCGGAGCACGGCACGTTGCGGAGATCGAGATTCTGGTCGGAGACCTCCGAATCCCATCCGTTCGGAAGATCCGTGTGGATGTTGGCATATTGGCCATGCGACAGCTTTGCTCCTAGGGTATCGGCGTCCTTCGCTTGGACGGTCAGCAACGCCTTCGTCAGGAGCCCGTTGTACTGGTTCGAGATCTTGTCCAAACCGGTCAACGTCCGACTCCGCACCACGTACGTGTACTCGTTGCCGACTTTCCAGCCATGCTCGTAATCGGCTCCAACTATTCCCGCTGCGAAACGAACATTCGAAACGTTCAATATCATCCTGCAGGGTGGAGGATCGACGCGAAGGAGAGGACCATGTTTCCACGACGAGCCGTTCTCGCCGAGGAAAGGGGAGATTTCGCGGTCGAGCCTTTCGACTTTCCCAAGGAAACGTCTTTTGCGCTTTCATACTGTTTTAAAAGAGATTTCGTCGTGAAAAGCGAAATAGTCGAAGCTCGAGGGGAGAACAATCGAAGAAGAAATTGTCGAGAGTTTCGTGGATAGAGGAGAACTCGGCACACTTACCAAGTATCAAAAATGTCCAAGGTAGCCACATGTTGAAAGCCGTTGGACGACTAGGAACTGAGGATGAGACTCGGCGGCGTCGCTATATTTATACTACCTGCATCATGTCGATTCAGCGTGAAAAATCTGTTATCGGTTTGCCATGAGCTGGTCGAGCGATCACAACAACATTATTGTTTATTATTATGTTGAAAAATCGCGGATGCTTATCCGGATAATGATTAACCGGGGTCACGGCCTAGTTACAGTCATCGTTTCGCAGAAATAGGATCAACGGTTGCCTGGACCACGTCTAAACTAGGTAACGATCGACGAAGCATCGACGATCGTTTGCCATAAGGTGTCGACGCTGCTCTCGAATTTTTCATCCCCGTTGAACGCGGCGGACCTTTGCATTCTCGTTGGACCGTGGATTGCACGCATTTGTCGGAAAACCGACTAGGTACAATTTAAATATAATCGAGCATCATAGTTCAGCCGGTTTCAATTTCTAAAGAAGGCACGAAACGTCGGTGCGCGATTGTTCCAGGAAACTTTTATTTCGCATAGAAAGATCTGCTGCCGAATTATCACACTTTTCATATAACTGTCCCTGTTTTCACGGAAACATCTCGAACCTTGTAGATAAAATAAGATAGATTTGCTACAGTCTACCCGGCACGTGGAAAATTCCTCTTCTTCATGTATTTGCGAATCGGTCGTCAAGGTGACTCGACGCAGACGTGGGAAACAGCAGAACTTTCCGAATGATCTAATAAAACGAACCAGATTGAACGATTATATCACAGTTGAAAATTAATCTCTGTTATTCTACATTTTATGTGTTTACCAAGTCTCCTGATACTAGGCGATTAAATAAGCTTGATTAGTTCAGAAATAGCCTGTTGCTGCCAGTAGACCGCGGATCTTTGCGCAAAAGAAAAATGTGCAGCAACCGTTGCAAAAAATAGTAGAAACTCGAATATAATGTCGACATTATTAGAAACAAACGCTTCTCATATCTTTTTGATATCGTTTCGTATCGGACATACTCGGTTCCGTGCGATAAATGCATGAAATTCGCAGTCTAAGATTTTCATTAACATTTGTTCCGCCGAACAATGATGGAATAATTAAAAATTCTATTGGCAATTTTTGTTAATCTTTCTTCAGAAGTACGCGCAAACGAGCATCTGGGAGATTAGGTTCGACGCGCGGGTCATAGTTCGCGCGATAGAAAAATGTCAACTTCCGTTCTAGAAATGGCTGAAAGTAATTTCTTCTTATCTCCGCGCTGCAATCGCGAATTCGATTATGCTGCGTCGGAAAAATCAATGACTTTGGTATAACCAATATTGCTGGTCGAACAAACAATTTTCGATTCCTTCCAAACGAAATCGCGAAGGAAAAGGATTACAGGAACGGTGCTCGAGATTGCCGATTAACAAAAATCTGGTGTATAACGAAAAATAGCATGTATAATTAAACTATATTATTCTACACTAGTCACCTTCTCGTGGTTCTTAATTAATAATTACACGGTTTTCTGCTGTTTTATGTACACACGGTGTTCTTGCCGTAACGCGTTACGGCAAACACACATACAAACGGGCTCGTATATAACAATAATCATTCACGTTCGCAAACAATAATACTATAAATTACGTTCCACCGCGGGTTATGCATAAACACATGTACGCGTGTAGATGTACACGTACATCTCCGCTCCGTTAATTCGCTCGAACGAGGAGAGGTTTGCCAGCGGTGCGGTTACTGCTGTCCGTGTCCACGTCCATTTGCGAGATCGTAGCTTTTATGATCGTCACCGGCTCGTATTTCTGCAACAGGAAAACATTCGCCGATTAATTAATTAATCGTCGCCCCGATTCCCCGTATCGACACCGCGATTAAATAAAGGAAAGCGTCGTTTTATTTGCAGGACCGTTCCGGCTAGCAGAAACAGGGAGTCGAAAAATAAGGACCGAGCACCGAGAGAATTTTCGCCGCAATTTGTATCATTTCGTACACTTGATTTCAGAAAATTCTCGCTCGTTTCCTACGAGTGATTTTCTATAGTTTCAACAATTTTGAGAGAGAAAAAGCGAGACCGAGACCGTCTCGACCGATGCACCGAACGATCGATCGGCGCGAAGATTTGCAAAAAATTCGGCTCCGTCTAGTTCGAATTCGCAGCGCACACCTCCGCGGCACGTGCCCGCGTCTCGCACCGGATGCAGACGCGGCACGTGCTTATCAGGAGGACGGACGCGTTGCTATCACGATTCGGTGCAGCGTCAGCCGCGCCCCTGCTCATTCAGAAAAACAGTGACTCTACTTTCTTGCTTCCGCGCGGCAACAAGAGTTGCGCAAATATCCGGCAAGCTGTCGCTGATGCGACGTCCTCGACACTGATGCAACTAATGCAACTTTGTTTCCCCCGCTTGCTTGTTGCAGTTGGAAGCCAAAGAGCACGGAGCTCCGTGGAAGATGCAGTTGTTCTCCGACTTTCACAGGCCTCCACGGACGGTGTACCGTGTACTGAGTTTACTCTTCGGTCGATCAAAGATGAACAGGTACAGAAGCGTCTCTTTTTGCTAACATGATTCGCAATCTCGATGTAAATTCGATCCGATTGCATCGGTGTGATCCAAATCTGCACGATCTCATTCGCGAATTTCTTCCTGCAGGAACTCTTTCGAGATTGGATCATCGACGAGGGAATGATATAACAGCAAGGAAATCTCGCGAGATGTTACCTGTTGGAGCTCGATGTCGACTTCCTGCAGGACCTCTTCGAGGACGGTCAGCAGGTGATTCACGTTCTCGATCGAAAAGACCATCGGCGGTTTCAGCTTCAGGATGTTGTCGTCGGGACCGTCGCTGCTGATCAGGATCTTGTTCTCCCGCATCCTGGCGACGATGTACCTAGCCTCTTCCGTGGCTGGGCTCCTCGCGATCCTGTCTCGGACCAGCTCGATACCCGCGAACAAACCCGCGCCTCGAACGTCCCCGATGATCGTCCACCGCTTCGCCAACTTCCTCAGCTCGGACATCAGGTAATTGCCCACCTTCAGAGCATTCTCCTGCAAATTCTCCCGCTCCAGCACCTCCATCACGGCGTTCGCGATCGCACAGGACACTGGGTTACCGCCGTACTGCGAGCAAACAACATTCGAGTCAATCTAGAAACTTTGATGAACTCGTTATCTCGAGGCTTGAAAGAGATCGCTTTGTGCAATTTTTATCGCGCGAATTATTCGTCGAATTCGATCGTTTCTTTCTTATCCGAATCAGGCGCGTCCAATCAATCGCAGAAACGCGGGATCGAAAGTTATAAACCATCCTCGGTTTGAAGATAAATGAAAAATCACATCTTCCAGAGATTGCAAATATTCGCGCCTAAAGAAGACGAACAATTCGACCAGTTACCGTGTTGAAGTACTCGATCCCAGTGTCCTTGAAACTCGTTGCGACAGCGGGGGTGGTAATCACAGCTGCCACGGGGTGGCCGTTGCCCATGGGCTTGCCTACGGTGACAATGTCTGGCACCACGTCCTCTCCGAACATCTGGAACGCCCACATGTGACTTCCAACTCTGCCGAAGCCAACTTGAACCTCGTCCGCGATGCAGAGACCGCCGTGTTCTCGAACGTGCCTGTACAATTCCAATTACCAATCAAATCCAGCGTATCCGCACGAGAATTTCGGAAGATCTTCGACGGAAACCCTCGTGAAATTTCCCACGGAATTTCGCACAAAAAATATAAATAGCGAAGATAGAAGAAAATGATACGATTGCGCCGCGACGATATCGAGCGTACCTGTAGACGTTCCTGAAATAATTCTGCGGAGGTAGGATCTGTCCTCCGACGGACATCAAGCTCTCGGCGATGTACGCGCAAACGCCTTTCCCCTGGGACTCCAGGTTTTGGCAAATATCCCGGACGTCGTTCGCATACTTCGCCCCGAGATCTTCGCCGGGATAGTCAATCTCGCGGTACTTTCCTCGGTAAACGTCCGGACACGGCGCCTGGAACAAATTTAGGCGGAATTGATTCGGAGGAAGGAAGATTTCTCGCAGTCGCTCGAGGATTTCTCGGCGCTTGCGAATCCTCTCTCGGGGAATTAGCTTCCACGCGTTGTTTCAAGTTGCAAAGGATTTTGTCGCGGAGCTCCCGACGTCTTCGATTCAAGAGAATGAAAAAGCCTTACCACGTGAACCCAGTCTTTCTTGCCGGGCCCGTTCGGTTTGTTGAACTTGTACGGCGATATGTCGATCATCGAGGTCAAATGTCCGTGATAAGCACTGCAACCAGAAAGAACAACGTTGAACGAGACGCGCTCGTCTCCGTAATCTCAACGACGCAACGCGCGAATCCGCACTTGCTCCGCTGCGTTGGCTCGCTTGCTTCCTTCCTTCCGTTCCTGAAAATCGTTATTTCTCCTTCCTCTCGATCTACGAGCGATTACCTCCGGCATCGATCGGCCGTTTCCAATAGACTGGCGCAGCTAAAAACGAATCGAAGCTACCTTCCTTCCTTCTGTGCCTCAGAAGGAGGGAGCGAGCTCTTTTCGAGGTTGGTCCGTCCTCTAGGATTTTCCATCGCTTCTTGTCGTTCTTCTTTCGCACCTAAAACGACAATAGCTTTATGTTGTCTCGAGCGGTCGTTCCTCCGGGTTATCCAGATTCCCGATGGGTTTAGCAACGACGAATTCGTTGTCCGTGGCTGCAAACAGGCAAAAAGAAAACCCACACGATTAGTCGGATGCGTCGGAGAAGGTTCGCTCGGCGAGAACCCGGTTATTCGAGACCTTTGCGATCCTCGCCACTCTGCACGGGACGTCTGCGTAGCAAGATGCCCGGTCAGAGTTCCCTGAATTTCGCCGTTTCGTGTGCCTCGGGGTCGTCGTCGTCGTTGTTGCATTAATCGTCGAGGACGCGACGCCGCTTGGAAACGGAACGGAAACGTTTCTGAGATCGGTGAACGGGGGAGTCCGGAGCTTCGAAAACAAAGCTGCTGCTGCTGCTGTGCTATATAGATGCTCTATTCTATTCTATTCTATTCCAGATTGTAAACGCTGCTGATCGTTTCCCAGCGCTGGCGCGTGCGATGATCGAACATTCTGTAGACTTACTGATCAAGAGCGATGATGTCTTTGTTCCCAGTATGCGTCTGCGCCAGTCGGAGGGCGAGGTCGTTCGCCTCGCTGCCAGAGTTCACCAGGAAGCAAACTGACAGCGGCTCCGGAAGCAGCGAGGTCAATCGGCGAGCGCAAATCACCAGATCGTCGTGGAGGAAACGATTGTTCGTGGAGACGAGAGCCATTTGCTCCTGGCCGGCTCGCACCACCGTTGGATGACAGTGGCCCACTGCAAATTAATCGGTATCAATCCTTTCGAATGGCCAAATTATTATTCGTCATTAATACTATATGTATGAACGCAGCTGCGTAAGGAGCCACTAATTTTTAAACGATTTTCTAGATAACGTCGATCCATCCTCCGCGCAGTTTATGCAACCACTGTTGTTCCTACCGTGTGCAACATTGTTGATGCAGTCCAGGTAGCGGTTCCCCCTTTCGTCGTACATGTATTGGCCCTCTGCTCGCACAATCTTCAGCGGATTCGACTTGTAGAACAGTTTGCAAGCTTGCCTGTGAACAGATCGTGGACCGTCATTCGAGCTTGTTGTCGCAGGAACGATGTTTAACGACGATAACAACGTCCATTTACCCGATGTGCCGTTCCCGCAGCCTGATCGTCTCCGACTTTGGCATCTGTTCCAACGACTCCGCCATGCCGGATGATTCTATCACTGAACAACGAAAAATTTTATTTAGATTAGACCAGTTGTTTGCCCAGATTTTTGGAAATTCATTTCTACGCTGATCGATCGCGTCTAAGAAATTCTCATTAGGGACCACGAAATGTAAGAATATTTGTGAAAGTAGATGCAATCGAGATGTCATGCAACTTAACTTTACAATTTTAATCGAATTAAACGCGTCACGATAATTGTATGTAATTTTTTAGGTCGCCGGCGCGTCAGTCAAAGTGTCGAAACACGATGCGAAAATTGTGTGAAGGACTTCGCTAACATGGCAAACTATGGGAATACGGATTACTTTTAGATTTGTAGTTTCTTTATTGCTAAAGTCTACCGTTTCGATTTAACAAACATTTCAACTCGCGCCACGATCGGGCCGTGGTTTTCGCGTCGACGTCGAGCGAATTTTCGATCGGGTTTCGCAACGTTGATCCGCGGTTTCGCAACGAATCGGTCTGCGGGCGAAATCGACACTGTCGAAAGATCGCAGTTCGGTTATAATTAACTTCACTTTATCGTTCTCGCAAACAGATACGATTGGCGCCGGCTATTTGCAACAACATCGGTTGCAAAACCGTTTCATCGATGCACTGTCTATCGGCGACCGGTAGAATCGCTATCGTATTCGCGACGATCGCGGAACAATTACGCGTTCTTGTTGAATTGGAACGATCGAGACGCGAACAGGAATCGATCGAACAGCCTAAGCAATCGGCGGTACGTTTCTAACGAGACACGGTATCTGTTCGAGACCGATATACGTACATATTTTCCTATGAACGCGATTTATCTCGAGGCATGGGGACGAATCACGCGCACTTATCGGCCTTCGGAAAGTTACTTGTCCCATAGGGAACGATATCTCTCCATTCGTCTATAGTTTCACCGAATTCCGAACGATTTCGAGAATAGAACGAGTCAAGGTATCCGAAACTGATCGTAGAAAATCTCGATGTTTTCGTCCTCGAAAATCGCAGCACTATCGAGCGAACGAAAAGCGGGTCAAAGGAGAGAACAAGTCGGAAAATAAGATCGCGATAAGATCTGTCCAAAGTCGTCGATCCTCGCGATTCCCTTTTAACCGATTAGATATTGAAATTCGAGAAGACGAAGGATCGGTGAAGTTCGACCGGAAGCTGCCGAAGGATTCGGCGATAGAAATCGGTGCGAGATAGAGAAACGATTTGGAAATCGCGAGCAAGGGTGTTCTGGAAGCCGGAAGCCGGAAGAAGGAAGCAGGAAGCGAGAAGCGGGAAGTCGGAAGGAAGAGCAGAGTCAGCGAGATCGTACCTGAACTCGTAGTAATCGTAAGTCACGGTTCCTCGACTTCTGAATGCAGTCGTCAGCTGAGTGCCGCGACCTACTCCGGTGACGTCATATATAGAGCTTGCCGATCGTCGGGAAGAAAAGCGGGGGAGTCTGCGCGCGCACTGTCCTCTTCGCCCTAATGAGATATTAGACGTTCCTTGCCCCTCCCCTTCCACCCCCGCTCTTTGCGATAGCCGGACATCGAACAAGCGTCATCGAGGTTGTAATCAGCCAAGAGATCGATTATTGACCGATCGATCACCTCCCCTGCCCGAAGGATCCGATTTTTTCGGATTTCAGAGCTGACCCCGTTCCACGAGCGCGTCGGCAAACAAAATCGGCTTCTCTCGCACGTGTTTTCTAGTCACCGTATCGTTGACTCTTAACGGGCAAATGTTTACTCGCGCGACAAACTATCGCGTTCGAATTTTACGAAAAAATACCTGTCACGGTTCGTCGAGGTTTAAAACGGTGTAACCCTTTCGAAATTATACCAAATGCGATGTACTTTTTTTTAGGATTGCCGGAAGGACCAGTTTGCTAGACAGAGCGTAAAACGTTTTCCCAAAGAATCGTTAGTTGGGCGAAATGGTAAAAATAAAAATGATAATCGCGCGTTTATAAATTTCTTGGCCGAGCACGAACGAAAATTCCAACGATGCTAAAAAGCGCGATTTCTTTTCATTCTTTCGTTGTTACGATCAATTGCGACGTCCGCGATCATTTCTGTGTCCATTGTTTAACAAACTAGCCCTTCTATCTTCATATATATGTGTGTGTGTCCAATGAAATAAGTTCCCCAGGAAAGTATGCACATATTTATTTCTTGTTGCTTCAATCCGAACGATTCGTTTAGCAATAACGTTGCACGTATCCTTTATTATATAGTCTCCAAATTCTACCGGAACATTGTTTAAGAAAATTATAAATTCTCCTTAGTCCTCCGGAACAGGAAAGCGATACTTGCCTCCGATTATCCTTAGAAACTTCGATCGTCGTGATCGATCGTCGTGATCGATCAGCTTTGAACTCGTCGAAGCGACGTATCTCATAAAGCTAGCATTAAACAGAATGTCGAAGAAGATTCTAGGGACTACAGTCGTATCCTGTAAGCTGTAAACGGTTGCGAAGCCGCTGTTTTAAACAATCATTTGCACGTCGACTGCATAAAGGCCATTGATTGCGCGCTAAGTCTCCGCCGATCTCTGGGATCGTGTTGCTTGGATCAAATGTCGCGTCGCTGTCGCGAGCGCAAATAATGCAACGAGTGTCGCAACCGTGGATCGCGGATGCAAAACGGTAGCGGAAGAATGCTTAATAACATGAATGACGACATTGTAATCGCGCGACTTTGCCTTGTCTCGACGTGGAGGAAAACGGACGACGAGGAAAACGGACGCGAAGACGAGGAAAGTATCGAGCAGGAAAAAGTCTGCGACGCGAAGCGACCTGTGCCAAGGCCAGGAATCAAAAATAGAGCGATCAGAGAGTGACCCTGGCGAGTAGAAACGACCTTGTACGCAGATGACTGCGACCATCGCGTTCATCAATCCATTACGGCGGATCGTCCAGAGAATTCTGACCGCGGGCTCGTGTATTTATTAGAGAAATCGCCGATTTTGCCAGCTCATATTCTACAAGAAAACGGGCAATCCAGGCAGAGGAGATACGATTGTTCGAGCCTTACGGCTCTTTTTGTATAGGTACCGTTCGTCACAGCCATAAAAATGAAAGTCCGTAAGGCTCGGACGATGGCATCCCTCTTTCCAAAAACGACCGTTTTTGGGCGCAATTCGAAAAGCAATTAGGCAGAATTTATTGTACCCTCTCCGGTCGGCAAACACGAATCGCAAAAGTTTCGTCTGCAAAACAAAGATTCTATCTTCGAAGAAAGAGATAGAGAGAGGAGACAGAGAGAGAGAGAGAGAGAGAGAGAGAGAGAGAGATTCCAGTCGCAATCTCGAACCCGATTAGCCTCGCGAGATTGACAAACAGCCGCTTAATCTCGAGCGAGTTATAACAGTTGAGAGTGAAACTATTCCGGTACGAAAATCCGCGGCGATAGCGGTATCGCACGACCCAGAATAGAAAATCGGCGAAAACCGTTGTTTCTCCTCGCAGATATGGATTTTTCCGACGATAGCTTTCGTGTAAACAGGATACGACGGCGCGAGCGGAGATGCTTTCGGCCGTTCACACTTGCAGATCCGAGCGGATTCCGCTCGTCTCGTGCGCGATCGCGAGCGCCCAGCGTCGATAAATCCGACACACGCATGCACATGCTATCGTTAACAAATATACGCGTGTCTGTCCGATTCGTTTCTGCACGCGCCTCGCGGAGATCTATCCGATCCGATCCGATATCGAATTGTTTTCGACTGTCTCGGCGCGAGCAGTCTCGACTGTCGGCGCAGTACCTTGGGAGCCTGTGGTCGGACGATCGGTCATTCTCAGCGGAAGAGGAACATCGGAAATGCAATTGAACACGTTCCACCGACGATCTACGAGGATCTAACGATGCGCAGCGGACGATACGCGATCCGCGCGGGCTGCTCCGGCCGACACTGTCGCCGTGAGCGTGAGAGTCACTGAAACTCGCACGTCTATTGATAGTTTCATGCAAAGGAGGGCGACCTCGTGTATAATAATCGCCTGACATTGGCACAGTGACTGACAAACGGCGGGTGCACCGCGACGGGTGCACGTTTTTCCCCGAGTCGATAGTCGATGCACGGATACAAGACCGTCGTCCTCGGGAACGCTTCTTCCTCGTCCGCGCCTACGTTGATTTATCGCGATCCGATGCAGTTTCGCCTAAACGGCTGATGCAGCAGCTCGGCTGCGCGCAGCCTGCAATTCCTTCGCGCCTTTCGAATTCGCAAACTCGCCGAACTTAAAAATCACCGACTCTCCGCTTCCAGATAGCGCGCAGCGCTCGATCCTCCGCTATTGTTGCGAATCTTCGGATTCGATAGTGCGAAGCAAAAGCAAATTCTGAGATCCTTTGCGCCGAAGATAGCTGGAACCGTCAAGTTCGAATTACGGAATCTGCTAGCAATAGGGCGCATCTCTCCCTCTGCCCCCGTCGAAACGGCGAACACTTTTCCAGCGAGTGTTCCTCGCGGAAAGTTCCACGACCTCTTTCCCGGTTATCGTCGTCATTGATAAATTATCGGCGGCGAATTAGCGCGGATTATTCCAGTGAACGATCGCCGCAGCTGCTTTGCTCTCGCCGCGCTGGTTCGGGACCAGCTCGGAGGAACCAGCGTCGCGTTTTTGCGGGATCGCAGGATCGCTCAGCCGATTGGCGCGGATTCTTCACCGCACGATCGGAAGCGGCTCTATTTTGCACTCGCGATATACTCTCGGTAGTTTTCCATTAACATTACTATCTGCGGCGGATTTCGTTTAGCGGCCTTATCGCGGCGAAACGTCGCCGTCGCGCGCGGGGCCTAGGATAGTTCAATCTTTGTTGCGATCGTCGCGTCGCGGCGCTCTTCCGCGCGGACGATTTCGTGGATCGCGGTCGGGAAAACGAAGCCGGAAGTCGGAGAACGAATATATCGTCGGGGCGATGCAGGCGGTCGAACGGATTCGACCGCGGAGCGGAAACTAGAATGACCGAAATCCTTGCGAAAATCCGATCGAGAGCGGTTTATCGCGGCGCATCGAAGCGTACTTTCGAGTTTCGATTATTTTTACGTGAAACGCAGATAACAGGGATGCGTCAGAAATGAAATTCGTGCAAACACGAGAAGACGGAGATAACGCGATAAGCTCGTCGCTTAATCGTTATGCCACTGCTGCGGAAAACGCTGCAAGTCGCGCGCCGCTGTTTTCTTAATAGATTTCGTTTTATCGGCCGGGATGATTGCTCGTCGAGCCCGCGTTTTCGACGCGGATAGGTGTTGAAAATTCCTGAACAAGGCAGCACAGCACGGGAAAACATGTTGATCGACACGTGCCGCACGTGAACGATAGCGATACACACGTGATACACACGCTATCGCGACGCTTGTAATCTCAACGATGATACCATGATTTGCGGCCGGTTTCTGTTGACCGTTGCGTACACGCAGGCATCCGCGTAACTATTGTTTAGTGCAAACAACGTTTGTTTTACGACGGGAACAATCAGGTTGCAAGTATCATCCGATGCGACGATGAATTGCATTTTAGAGAAATCTATGGGACACCTATGCGTATGCACTTGTCATCGTTTTGCACGCGTGTACGATATATTTGTCGATCATTTTATCGAAGATATTCCTGGCGTTGCGAATATTTTTTACCGAATTTCAAACCAGTTATCTTCTTTTTTGGCGACGATTTAGTCTGCAAGTTAGAGCCAACAATAATAAAATACCACGACAATCGGTGCTTGAAAATTCATGCTTTTGCACTTAAAATATTGCAAGCCATAATATGCAGCCGTGTCATATAAAAAACTCCATCATAATGGCCGGTTCAGTTTTTAAAAACAGAACTTTGTCGCGGGCACGGTAAGATTATTACCACGCAGCGATAAAACAGCCGAACTAAAAGCTATGTCGCTGAAACGAAATTTCTGTGTTGCAGTCCTACCGTAGTTCCTTAACCGTAGTTCTTCCGCCCACATTTTGGTAGTGGGCGCGAGAGATTCGTTAAATAATATTTGGCGCTTCTTATTGTGTTTCGGAACTCTTTTCGTTTATCAACAAAATATCTGTGCCTGTTACAGAAAAACATTTATTTTCAAATTTTATTAATTCCGGTCGAGGCGAAAATTTTGATATCGAATATGCTTTTATATGCATTCTTAATGTAATCTATAGTATGAGAACCTTTTCCAAAAAGATATTACCTGGTAACAGAGAGGCTGGTTTTTCTTTCGGTACGTCATAGACGAACTGTGCGTTTCGGTGAACGGTATTTTCGCTATCACCTGAAAATATAACCACGTAATAGACATTAACACCGTAAAACTTAAATTATATGAAAATAAAATAATCTTATCCATACCATGCCATAAAACAACCGGAGTATAACAATCAACATTGTTCGCTGTGCAAATGCAAAAGAGAATTGGTAACAAGAACGTATACTTTCCGAATGAAATCATTGTTGTGTTTACTGTGAGATAAAAAGTAGTAATTGATATTAATTTATCTATTTTATTATCCCACATGCTCCATTATCGACCGAAGACTTGCCCGTATACATAACTTGAAAAATGCTTGTTATCAATTATTACAATTGTTACTCCTATAGCCATATCTTGCATTGCAAACTGAGGCAAGGATCATTTGTTTATTTTCATCTTCAATCAGCGCCAATATTTGTGACGGTGAAACGCTCAAACTAGTAAACGAACGGCATGGTAACTGCATAAGGTTATCCGTAAAATTGAACAGCGACGTCATTGATAAAATTGGTAACTGTAACCGTGCGAGTAACGCGTCGATAACTTTCGACTACCAGTTTGAGCGTTTCGCCGTTACACGGAGCGGCGCTGTCGATGCCGACAATATGGCGAAGCGGCAAGAATCATTTCTGATCAGTTTTATATCATACACGTTTGAATCATTGTTATCAATAATTATGAACAAAATCTTGAACTTTTAAGAGCGCAAATTAAAGCTGGAGGATCGCACTCGTTGCAGTCTGCAGGTTGCAGTGGTTGGATATGTAGAAAAATCAAAAATAATGCAAAAGATAATTCGAAGAGAAATTATAAATATAATATAATGTAAATATAATTATTAAAATGAAATATAATTCCGTGGAAATTTCTAAACTCTTGAAAGCTACAATTAAATTGAAAGGATTACGGTATATCGATCTGTTAAAAATATTATCATATGCATCGCTTCTTTAATACATAATATTAATTCTTCATAAGCATACTTACTTTCTCGCAGTTGTCATCAAATCTAATTTACCACTTCTTAAAGTAGACACTTCCAGCTTTCATTTAAGCACCGGTCATAACAGCCCATTGGGAACATAGCTTAAAATCCATTCGAACCTCCCTTTGGAAGAGGGATTCGCGGAATCGACAAAATATCTGTGTCTGTTATAGAAGTATTCTTTTATACGCGTTCTTAAATGCATTTCCTAAAATACTACGATTAATAAATTCTAATGTAATCTTTCGATGCGTCGTAGACGAATTGCGCGTTTCGGTTTCGACCTGTCACGAGGATAAATCATTACAGTCACGAGGATTTCGAAAACATAATACGGCAACTCGAAGGGCAAACGTTAATTACGAGTCGCAATATTCACTTTCATACGCATCTATAAAATGCACTTAAGTCATACACAATGACAATACTGCAAGTCGGAGAAAATTCTCAGTTAAAACGTCTTCCAGTGTGAACACGCTTGACAAATTACTGTCCGAAAATATTATTGTACAACGAAACATGCGTCATCAGGGAACATTATTTACGACTATATTTTTTGTGCCGAATCGCGGTCGTCCGTTGGCTTAATAACACGGCGCAGTTGTAATACGTCACGAGGATTACGAAAACATAATACGGTAACGGTGAGAGTTTAACTGCGTGTCGAATTATCTGCGTGCTTTTCTTTCTGTTCCAGAACTCTAACTCGTACTACTTTTATCGAAAATTTTCGAAAATTTCCGGAAAAATTTTAAAAATTATATCAGGAGAATATGATATGCGAGGAGGTATACTTTTCGAACCTCTGGCCTGACGTTGACTCGTACTACTTTTTTCGAAAATTTTCGAAAAATTTCCCGTTTTTCGAGATTTCAGTAGTACAAATCAATAACAGGCGCCAGGTAAAATTTTCGAAATCTCCTCGCAAGGTGCAAAGTGGAGGAATGGATGCAAGAAAAGATTAAAAATATATTAAAAGAAGATGACGGGTAGGAGAGTGGGAGAAGAGAAGAGATTAAGAAAAGAAAGGAAATTAGGGTGGAAGGTGAGAGAAGAAGAAGGAGGGTGATTGTGGAAGAACAGGGATAGCGCAATGCAAATGGGGAAGAATGTGTGAGAGGGAACGATTAAAACTAACTACATTGAAAAGTCGTTTAGATTTAATTCTAAAATCTGTTGCTTTATTAGTATAAATTATTACAACGTGTGTATATAATAAGTGCAGTCAGACGTTATTCTTGCCGCTTTGCTATATTATCGGCGTACATAGCGCAGTTTTGCGGAACAGATGTGGCGCCATCCGTGGGGAAATGCTCAAGCTGCTAGTGAAACGTTATCGACCCGAAGCACGTATTCGGAGATGTGGCGCCATCCGTGGCGAAACGCTCAAGCTGCTAGTGAAATGTTATCGACCCGATGCACGTGTTCGGAGATGTGGCGCCATCCGTGGCGAAACGCTCAAGCTGCTAGTGAAATGTTATCGACCCGATGCACGTGTTCGTCGATGTGGCGCCATCCGTGGCGAAATGCTCAAGCTGCTAGTGAAATATTATCGACCCGAAGCACGTGTTGTGGCGGTTTGCTTGGTATTATGTTCTCTTAAACTGGATTCTCTGAGAACTGAGGACGATGGCTTTTCGGTAATGAAGGAAACAGTTAATTTGGCTAACTTGTAACATGTTTTATTTAACTTTATGCGTACGTCTTTTGACTGTTTGTACGTCTATACTCTTGGGAGGTTTACATTAGACTGTACGTCTTTACTTCTGGGAGGTTACTATTAGACTGTAAGAGAGTCCAGTGGTTTGCGTAGCAACAGCTAGTTACTAAGTTGTAGGTGGCGCTGTGTGCCGCTTGTACGGGCGTACGCCACAACAGTCGTAGATGTGGCGCCATCTGTGGCGAAACGCTCAAGCTGCTAGAGAAAAGATATCGACTCGAAGCACGTGTTCGAAGATGTGGCGCCACCCGTGGCTGTACTGTGAAACCGGTGACTAAAGATTTAGCTAATAGTTTGAGCGTTTCGCCGTGGATGGCGACACAAGTCGAATCAATTACCATCATAAATGTTCTTAAAGTGAACACGTATATACGAAATTTCCTATCAAAATATTAAAATTTAAAAACATCGAATACATATTTGAATTATAAGTGTTGAGTGGAGATATTATTCTATTAATTAGTTTATTTATTAAATATCCTCACAAGTATCAATATCAGTATTGGTATAAGATAAAGTTATCGCTATCCTTGATTCTCGCCTGTGATAAGACAGTCATGGGATACAATTACCATCTGTGAAAAAGTGTTCAATCTCTAATTCGATGGTAAGCAGGATTTTCTGTTAGGTGGTGCTATCAGTTTTAACCTATTTGTCGGTAATGTTGCCTACCAGTTTGAGCATTTTGCTACTTTTAGGAAAAGCGCTAAATGATAATTCTAATGAAACAAATAATTCTTGCCGGAATTTGAATGATATCTAACGACTAAGATGGCAAGAATCATCTGCACCTATCCTGAAGAATGCTTAGTAGATTTTTAGCAAGAGGCAAACGAATATACGCATGTATGCACACGCAATTGTAATTTAGGGAGGGTGGAGGAACGAATGAACACACACGGCAGAAATTCATATTTTCAACAATTTACTCCTAGGCTCTTGTTTTGGCCAGATCGAGACCGACAAATATCCTTTTGCGGTCTCTCTTTGTTATATGTATAATACATAAAAATAATGATATTTACAAATGTAGGATAACGTTAGGCACTCAATGAACAAAACAATGAAACTATAAATGGTTTTTCTCTATCATACATATTGGAGAGGTGTTATGACGAATAATAATCATTGAAGAATGCACTCAGAGAGCAGAGTGAGATACAAGTACAAGGATACCCAAAAAAGAAAAAAAAGAAAAAGAAATTAGCATAGCGCTGATTCCATTGAATGTTATTAATTAATAATAATAATGATAAAAAAAGGAACAAAATATATCGCTTCGATAAAACGAATTTTTATTTGCATTCTCAATTAACGTTTTGCGATTCGATTACGGTTTCGAACGTGTGGAATGTTGGAGGTCTCGGGTGACAAGCATTATTTTTCACGTGGAATGTGCTCGCGCGATGTCTGTCACGTTATTTCTTTTTGTTCTTTCGTTTTTAAATTAAGTCACTTTACCTATACTGTATAAGTACCTCACTGCTGTTATTACATTTAATTTTTCTCATGTATTCACTGGCCTTTGCGTTCATTGTCGTGAACAGTGGACATCGAAAGGAAGTGTTAGTTCCCTCGTATTCTACGAATGTCCGTAGACTAGAGTTATTTCTATCTCGAAATATATCGTTTAAGTTAAAAATAATCGTTCTAGTTCTACAATTTCGATTCGTTTATTTTTTTTTCCCCCACGTTTGTTTCTCTATTCCTGAATTGATCGTGAATCGCAGTCTGTGGTACGTTCGAATGTGCCATCGAAGATTTGCATCGACACAGAGCTCTCTCTCTCTCTCTCTTTCTCTCTCGCCGTTGTACACCGTCGTTTCGTGGATGCAAAAATGAAAAAGAAAAAGAGGTCACAGTCTCTATACGTCGGAGTAACGTTCTCTCTCGCTCACTTTCTTCCTCTCTCTCTCTCTCTCTCTCTCTCTCTCTCTCTCTCTCTCTCCCTCTCTCTATCGATTATATTACCGAACCTGATGTCTAATACGGTGTGAATGTCAATCCTTTCTTTCTGATCGTCCCCTCATTCGTCTCGGTTGATATTCAACGATCGTCTCTCATTATTACAAATTACGACAATTATCATTGTTCCAAGTTATCTCACATAAAGTCCACATTACGCAGAATAAAATAAGTTATACGATTTGTCTATTTCTCATTAAAATATTATGATACAAATTACAATTATTTATAGTTCAGGGTCTAAGAGCCGTTAGTGTCAAACTAGAAAATCTTTATTTACCCACTTCCGTTAGATAGCCCGAGAAGTGCCGACGTACATTGTATAGGTATCTCAATAGAATTTTTTGTACAAACAATCACTTACACGTGCTTCGCGCGTACGGCTGATATGGCTTTTGTTTTATTTTCCAACGACCACCCACCAACGAGGATAACCGTCGTATCGCGTGGCGACTATGCGTTGGTTCGCCGGTTTAACCTCGACGGTTAGTGTGTGTGTGTGTATATATATGCGTGTGTGTATGTATGTTCTTTTCAAGTACTGTCTGTAATGTCACTCTGTGTCACTTCGTGGGGCATGCGTCGTTTATGCTTTGTATAACGAGTAATATACTTATTAGTCGCAAAGAATACGAAAGGCTTGGTTGTACATTTGGTCAATGAAACTTCCTTTGCGATCGCGAGGCGTGCGGCGCCCTAAGAATAGAAAGTTTTCTTTATAATCGGTACTGCGTTGTGTGCTAACGACCCTTAACCCTTTGATAATATCACAGATGAATGAGTTTCCGTGTTGTGCGTTACGCGTCGCTACCTAAGATTCCTAACAAGTGCGTTGATCCTCTCGATTTTCTCGCTGAGCACCCGCCTCTCCGAATCTAGGGCGGTTTTCGCGGAAAGGAGCTCGTATATCCTTCGTTCCAGCTGAATCGTTTCCGAGCGCAAACTGTTCGACTGTGCTGCCAGCCTGGACGTCTCGCTCGTCAAAATCCTCTTCTCCATGATTTTCTCTGAAAGAAAAATCTAACGATTAGAGCCCGGCCATTTAATATCGCAAACCTGTATTTTCAACCCCCGATTTAACCCTGCTGCGGAAACCCTAATGCCAATCCTCCGCGAAAGCCAATCGTCCGGTACCTTTGGAATACTCTCTGTAGGCGAGCAGAATGTCCTCGATTCCGTTCCACTTGGGTATCTCTCTCTTCCCGCCGACGTTCTCGTCGGCAGCCTCGTCCGCGACCTTGACGTCGACGGCCTTGCAGTGTTTCACGCCGTTCTCGCCTGGCACCGGCAACACAGGGTAACACATGTGGACGATGTTCGGAACCAAGGGCGGCAGAGGCGGCGGCCGTTCAGGAACGTGCTTCGCTTTCACCCGATCCAACAGTCTCATCTTCTGCGGTGGTTTCGGCAACGTCGGCGGGTTCTTCGAGTACGCCTTAGCGATCCTCTCGCAATAAGCGGTCACGGAGTTTGTGCTCCTCCGCTTCCTGCGGTCCTGGAGAACGTACTGCCACGTCATCTCTGCCTCTGTAACCGGGTAAATCGGATGCTCGGACCATCGAAAATCCAGACTAGATACTAAGGATCACCACCACCCTGGGGTGGTACTCTCACCGTCTCTTCGACCAGGAGGCATCACGTCGAGTCCTATGGTCTTCAAGAAGCCGACCTTCGGCTCGAAGTCTGGCGTGTGCAGCAACGCGTCCGGATGGTCGCGAGGAATCGGCAAGACCGACTCGACGATCGGTTCTGGTTCCAAGGGCATGTCCGGAGGATCTGGATTCAGTTTGTACCTTTTCTCCACCTTGCAGAGCTCCATCTCTGTGGGACGAAAAATCGTGCGTCAGAACGGGGATCGAAATTTGGGAAATACAGTCGTTGAATACGGTCGGTTAACCCTTTCGCGCCGAGAGCCGCATACAGTAATGTGGCCCTTACCGACGCGCTCGGATCGTCCACTAAAATAGACAATTTGGGAAGAGGAGATACGATTATTCGAGCCTGAGGAGCGAGTTTCCGTTCGGTAACGGTACTTCGGCGGACGGAGCTGCCGTAGCGAAAGGGTTAAGTAGGTGTTTCCGGTGTGAAAATGGTTTCGTAGAAAATCCAGGCACATCCGGGGAGCAGCCTGGTACTCACCGTTTCGCATGCTCAGAGTGGTGAGCCCAAACATGGCGAGGAACGCGAGCTTCTGATCGGAATACTGCAGCTTCGCGGGCGGTCCCTTCGTGATCCATAGATCGACGTCCTTGATCTCGTCCTCGCCCTCGGATTCGGAGCTGCAGACGAGGCTCGCGTTCCTCTCACGTTTGCGTTTCCGCCGCCTTTCGGCCAGGTCCAACGAGGACGTGAGCTCCTTCGGCTTCTCAGGTACAAGGAAAGAAGAAGAAGATGAAGAGGACTTGTCGCCGGTGACAACAGCATCCTGTTTGACTAGAGCCTTGCTCAGGTCAGGCACGTTCAGCACCGCTGGCTCGCACTTCACGGAAATCTCAGTCAAATTATTGCACTTGTCGGTGAAACAAAATGCGGCGGCGGTCTTCAGCTCGTTCGAGAAGTTCAACAGCTTCTCCTGGTACTTCGGTATCTGCAGCAGAACGTTCGAGACGTTCTGACAGGTGCGCAGAACCTCCTCGGACTTGATGCTCTGCATCAGCTGGCTGGTGTCGATTGGTTTCGGAGCGATCTCGTTTACGCTGAACTTAAAACTTGGTTGAAACGATAATGTGGACAAAACGTTGTTGTTGCTGTTACTGTTGCTGTTGCTGTTGCCCGAGAGATCGGGCTGCGGATTGGGTCCCGTGGCCTCGACGACCTCGGGCTTGCTCTCCTTCTCGGCGAGAGCGAACCCTTCGGGCTGGAAGATGGCCGGGCCCGGGCCCGGGCCCTTTCCTTGATCGTAGGTCGAATGGGGGACCGAAGGTTTCTCTTGGATCGAATGACTCTTCCCCGAATGATTTTGGCTAGCCGGCGACGGCTGCTTCGCGTGGCTCTCGATCTTCTCGCAATACGAATTCGTCTTCGCGTCGATCGTCTTCGGGGTCGCCGCCGTTGCTTGATGGTTCTCGCCGTTGTTGCTCTTCGGATGCGAGTGGCTCGTCACCTTGCCTCCAGGCGCCACGCTGTTGCTGCTGCCGTTGTAGCTCAAGCTCCCGGCCGTCTTCTCCGACACGCAGTTCGCGATCTCGGACCTCTGGGACGCCGTGGTGGTAACAGGCCCGGTCTCGATCGCGCCGACATGATGGGAGCCGTGTCTCGTGCAGTTCGAACTGCTGGTCACGCTGGTCCCAACCGCGCTGCCTCCTACGCCGCTGCTGCCGCCGTTCGTCGCCAACGTCGGAACGTTGATCTTCGCTTGCGAATGATGTTGCTGTTGCTGATGGGAGGTGACGGAGGGAAAATGCGGGGGTTTGTAGAGTCCAGGGACGTGAGGGACGGGTATATGCGGATGATGGAACTGCTGCGGGGGATAGGGAATCGGCTGAGACAGGGACTGCTGAAGGCTGACGGCGTTCTTCGAGTTCTCGGTCGGCGCGCTGTTGTCCGTCGCGATGGGGCCGATCGTCTGCGACGCTTGGGTGCTCGGCGCCGATTTCACGACCGAGTCGGTCTGATGGGACAGCTGGCTGGAGATGCTGTGGTTGTGGCTGTTGACCAGCAGCCTTTGCTGCGGCTTCGACGAGGAGCGAAACGAGTCCTCGAACGGTCTGACGAAGACCGGCTGCGAGATCGGCGAGGCTACTATGGTGCTGCTGCTGGCTGCTACGGTGGTCATGGTGGTCATGGTGGTGACGGTGGTAGAAGAGGCAGCGGTGGTAGCAGGCACCGCCGTGGGATCCTTGGTGGTCCTGGAGGCGTGGTGGCCGTGCAACAACGGCGGCGATTTGTGTGTCAGGTTAACGTGGTTCACGCTGCCGATGGTGGAGGACGGCACGGTGTTGGGGGTGGTCAAGGTGTGCGTGGCTAGCGTGGTGACGGTCCCGCTGCCGGGTAGACAGGCGGTGGTTGCTGTGCCGCTGCCGCGTTGTTGCTGATGCGAGGATGCCAGCGACTGCGGGGCTTGCGTCGATTGTTGCTGTTGTTGCTGCTGTTGGTGGTATATAGAGGTCGTAACGGTAGTTGTCGCGCTGCTGCTCATTATCGTAGCTGTGTGCTGACTAGAATGAATGGTGGTCGAGGGTACGGGGGGCAAGTGGAGGGATGGTATGGAGATGATGGGCGGCAGGGGCATGCCGAGGGGCGGAGGCGGAGGCGGCGGGCCTATTACGGTCGGCGCCAAGGACGACATGGAGGCTATGGAGGGTATGGGGGGAGGACCGATGGGCGCGGAGCTTATGGCTGCTGGCGGAGGTCCAAGGTTGAGGGGCGGCAGAGCGGAAGCCAACGGCGGGGGTGGCATCGCGGACGAGCTCACGGAACAGATCGAGCCGGTGGCCAAGGACGGCGGCGGTCCGATCGGAGCCGGGGCGCTCGGGAATCCCGGCAGACGAGGGTGGTAAATGGTCGCGGCGCCGCCGGTCGGATCGGTCGTCTGCGGCGGAGGCGGCGCGGCCGCGGCCGACGTCGGCTGAGGCACCGGAACCGCCGTCGCCACGGCCGAGGCTGCGGCTGCGGCGGCGGCCGCTGCGGCCGCGGCGACGGCCGCCGAACCCGAGGACTGCTGCTCCTCCTTCCTGGCCTGGTGGTGATTGCTGCTGCCCACCGTGCCCACGTTACCGTTACCGGTGTTCCCGCCGCTGCTGCCCCCGCCGCTCGTCGCGTTGTTCCCGCCGCTGCTCCCGCCGCCGCCTCCTCCGCCCCCGCCTTGACTCGGCCGGTCCCTGTTCTCGCGGTCTCGCTCCCGGTCGCTGTGCATCTGAGCCGCTATGGTCGGCTTCCTAGCTGGAACAAATCCCGAACACAATGCTTGGTAATCTTCCTCTGACCCACTGCTGTTTTCGAACATAGCCTCTCGGGAACGAAACGTTCGCTCCCTCTCTTAGAGCGGTCTTCCAAGTTGTTCCAAGATCGGAACACGAATGCTACGCGTTCGCGCGGAACACACACTTATCATCTCGGAGAGAGTCTTTTAAGACGCGCTAAAAACACGGTGCCGTTCTGTTAACCGAAGCAAGGTTAACCGCCGCCGATCTCTAGCATCGAGGGGAGTAGTTCTAGAGGAGCGCGGCCTCGATCGAGAACGACGCCGGTCTTCCGAACGCCCATCTTCCCACCCTACCCAGAGAGTCGGGTATACCTAGAGTCCGGTAGAGGTCATAGACAAGGTCGGTGGTATATCGGTGCGAAATGGAGCTTAGTTTTATCGGCCCCCGTTGGTCTATCTCGATGTCGGATATAGTCGGAGGCGTCTCTCCATGTTTCGAGGTCCACGCGTGGTAGCTGGGAAAAATCGGTGCCCCTCCCCCCGTGTCGTCGGTACGGTTAAGGGTTAAACGGCTCTGAAACGTTGCGAGGGCGTTGCGGCTGCCAGGTTGCGACGAGGAGGCGCCGCGAGGAGAAGCGTTCGCGGTTTTCTTTCGGTCTACTTTTTGGTCGACTTACCTGGGAGAGCGATCCTGAATTGCGGGCACGCGTAAATATGTCGGCCGGTCGGTGCACCTTGTGCCACAGTGCCACGTATAACACACACACGCATACGGTTTCGAAGTATTGGGGATGATTGCCTTTTCGAGAGTCTCGAGAGAAATGACTAGAGGCCGCGGACGCGGAATTGTACGAATTTGTTCTCGCTCTGGAGCTGTCGGGATATATATATAATACGCGAGCATCATGATCGAACAAGGTACGAACACACAGGACGCTAAGAGAGATCGTCGATCTCCGAGTTGGATATTCTAAATAGCAGTATGTATATAATATATATGTAGATATATATATATGTATAAACTCCGTTACGAATCGTCCCCAAAACTGTTTCAGAAAATGTGAATCGAGGGTCAAAGTAACTCCAAGTCAAAAACAGAATTTTGATCAAGTCGTTTGTGGTTTTTTTTTGTTGTTTTATTTTTATTTCTTTCTTCCATTTCATCATCATCATCATCATCATCATCATCATCATCGTCATCATCATCATCATCATCATCATCATCGTCGTCGTCGTCGTCGTAATCATCGTGTCATAATCATCATATCATCGTCATTATAATCATTATTATAATCATCATCGTCATCGACATCATCGTTTGTTTCATTTGTTTTTCTCGCAATGTTTATTTTCAATTATAGTCCAAATATACATGTTTACATAATAAATTATATAAAAAACGGTATAATTTTGATAAAAGAACATTGTTCGACAAAGTTTTATATACATCGGTGGATTCAGTCAATAAATGGATGAATTATTAATACGATATTCACTACAATTAAAAAGAAAAAGGAACGAGTTAATTGCGACATTCATCATCGATCAGTTCAGATTGCAAATTCTCTAAAACAGTTGCGGGAACTAACGCAAGAGTGCACTGCTTCCGGGAAATGGTCTCTCTCTCACGCTCTCTCTCTCTCTCTCTCTCTCTCTCTATCTCTCTCTCTCTCTCTCTCACGCTTACAATCCACAAGAATGTTCTCTCTCTCGCACGCGTGCGGGGGCGGAGATCGAAAGGAACACCTTATCCTTAAAAAGAAGAACAAAAGGAAAAAACGAAAGAAAAATCAAAGATACGACGAATAAATCGAAACGGAAAGAAAAAGACGAACAACCTAGAAAGCGTGTAACAACGTTAGTCGCGGGACCGGTCACGGGGAGCCGAGTTTTGGCCGACCGACGCGGCCACCCGATAAATCTTTCGAAACGATCGTTAATTGTCGCGGCGAGGACTCGACGCTTCGCCTGCCAGCGATCGTCCCGTAATTAAGATCTAGCATCGATCTATTCGATCGGTTTCGTTGGGACCGCGCCTGGCAGAAGATATTCGATCGGAGTACATAATTGCCCCAGAGAGATCGTCGATCGCGAAGAAAAGTTCGATCTTCGTAGAAAAATAATAATCTTCGCGCGAACTTCCCGACCGCTGAAGTCTAATCGAACAAAGCTAACCGAGTTTCGAATGTCTACTTTCTTGTACTCGAGACAATGAGAATCTTATACTTTCTCGCTGCAAGCTCCGATCAACGCGCGTTCCCTTATTATTATCACATTATATAATATAATAAAGAAACACCGGAAATAAATCTGCAGCACCGAAACGGAAATAAATAGACGCGGCGTGGAACACATGTTGATCGCGAATTACATTATTTATGTAATATTTTAGCCGGCACAACGGTCGCCGTGCTTTATTTTTACGCGACCGTGTCGCCGAGCGGTTATGGTTGCACCGTGAATCTTGGAAAAATCGAAAGTTGCAGCGGCACGCGAGACGACGAGGGGAAATGTTCGCGTTCGGTTCGATCGAATACGTTCTTTCCCAGGGGTGCAGCGTTTCGAAGACAATTTCGAGATGGTTGGAACATATCCGGGGAACACCGATCGACGGGCAAAGCGTTGGCGAGACGAAAAATGGGAAAAATCGCGACGCGGAAGGTGCGCGGAGAACGCGTGGGGGTGTCGTCGACGACGTCGACGATCGAATCGACGGATTTCCGTGGGTTGCGTGCACTCTTATGTTCGAGTCTCGCCTTATCGGAAACACCGTTTACTAGCTACGAGAAACGATTAACGATGTAACGGGCGTCGATCATTGTACATAAACGGGAGGCGCGGCGTTGTCGTACCAACGTTACAAAGGAATCGGCTCCTGTTGCCGTTCCGACGGTACTCTTCCGACGGTTCTCCGACGAGCTTGGAACACGCAACGGAAACGGGCATATATCTGACGACCGACCGAAGGCCGACTTACTTCCCGCGAGCACAATTGCCGGAACACGATGGTACGGGTAATGTCTCCCTTACTGACGCTCGGATTGTGCACAAAAATTGGGCAATTTGGAAAGAGGAGATACGATTATTCGAGCCTTGCAACTCGTTTTTATAGTTGTCGACGATCGATAGCCATAAAAAGCGAGCCACAAGGCTCGAACAATCGTATTTCCTTTTGCAAAATTGTCCATTTCTGTGGACAATCTGAGCGTCAATTAGAGAGACATTACTGTACACAGAAAAGGACAATTTGGGAACAGGAGATCGCGATTATTTGAGCCTTGCACCTCGTTTTTATAATCGTTGACAATCGGCAACTATATAAATGGGCCTCGAGACTCGAATAATCGTGTCTCCTCTTCCCAGATTGTCCATTTTTATGCGAAATCTGAGCGTCAGTAAGGGAGACATTACTGTATCGCGCGAACAGCTGCCGATAAGTCTGACTTCGGTCCGCTGTCGAACAAAATTCGATCGTTCATTTCTTTCTTTTTTTGTTTTTTTTTCGCTAAATCGGATAATCGCGGAACCAGTCGCCTTCTCTCTCTTTCTCTCTCTCGCTCTCTCTCTCTCTCTCTCTCTCTCTCTCACCCTCTCCGGCGCGCAAATAATCGTGTCTCTCTGTGAGTCTGTGTGTACTTGTTTGTGTGCACGATTCTCTCCCTAAGCTCGAAAACTCTCAACTTTGGTTCTTGCTGCAGGGGATGGATATCTTTGTTCTGGATCTTTGTCGCGCGGAACCGACATTCGCAATTGTTATTCGTTCGTAATTACAAAAAAGATTCGATTTAGATTTGTGGAGAAGACGTCGGAAGAACTTGAGGCTCTATTATGTGCAACTTAATTGAGAGAAAAGACGTTTCCATCGGGCTTGAGTGCGGACGAGAATTTGTTTAAAGCGTCGACGATTGTTCTCGGAGAACTGGATCGTGCGTCGAAGGCACGTGAGAAACGATCGATGCATCTTGATCTTTTGTTACGCGCAGATTACATGCTTGCAGCTTCTGGAATTAGACGCGCAGTCCTAATGTCGTCGACAGACAGACATTCGTTGTCGAAGGATTTCATCTTGGTAACGAGAAGTCGAATAAAATTGAACGATTGTTTAGCATCGTGCGGGAATTGTAAGAAAACCGTAAGAAAAGATTTGCAATTGCAGGAAATCGAGCGGCGATTCTTCGGAACGAAGAACCAAAATGGCGGCGACGATGGACAACGATTGAGAATATCGGTTCCCTGGAACAACGTGTCCGCGACAAAAGTTTCTCCCGACTGTTTCGATCGGAGTTCTTCGTGTGGCAGTTTTTAGAACCGTCCGCTGCTAACGAATGCTATTTACTGAAACGACGAATCAACGCGCTCTCTTTTCTCTCTCGCTCTCTCTCAATCTCTCTCTCCCTCTCTCTCTTTCTCTCTCTGTCTTCTCGATAATTAGTCTCGATCGTCGGCGACACCGTGCGCTTGGCTAGAAAATATCGATCCCTACCTTTGCTCCGATAAGAAACGTTCAACTATGTTTACGGCTATAACTTCGATTATAATCTAAGTTAAAATTAGAAGCGTAGTATTGTTCTTTCGTCTGTCGATTTTCGATTCACAGTCGACCGTGTGTATCTGTATCTGACTGCGTGCGTGTGTGTGTGTGTGCGCGCGCGCGGGCGCGTGTATGGTGTATATGTGTGTGTGTGTACACGTGTGTTCTATTCGAGTTGCGAACGTGGTCGGTGGTGTTTTGCGTGTTCTTGTATTTTACAAAACGACTTCTCCTCGCTTGCCTCGCCCGGACCATCCGACGCGCGGATGGACCGTCGAACGCAGTACAGGCTTTTGTCCGACGACTCGACGTCGACGTCGATATCGTTGCGATAAAACACGGGGTGCACCGATTCTTTTTTGGGGGAAGCTCGGCACACGCGCGCCGATTTTTACGGGGCTCCTGGCAATCGTTCTCGTCCAACGGGTTATTCCCATTCGTCGGGGTCGGAAAGTCGATTTCACCGATAATCGGATTTCTAACGCGAACCGAAAACTTTTTCCTAAGATTATGCTCGCGTTCTTCTGCTCTAGCAGGCGATTCTAGGATAATTAGAATCTAATCGGGCTTCCTAAGATAAGTAAAGATCTTCAGGTTAATTTCTGGAAACTATGCACCCCAAATAATCGGACGTGATACCTCGATAAATCTTCTTTTGTCTCGGGAACTATCGAATTATTTGCTCTGATTTAACTTCACTACCATTGCCGGTAGTATATGTTATCTCGTTGAAAATTAAGGCGAAATTGTGGCAATAAATATAATCGCGCGGGGATTCCATCGTACTGTCTTGAAACATGAACGAACTTGTATGCAAAACTTCGACACCGTCTAAAAAAATCGACGACTCCGAATGGGAATAGCCCTTTAAAAAGAATTTCGCGGTATTCGGTTGGGGGTTGTTTCCACCCCTGCGTGTTCACGGGACCTTCTACGACCCGGTTAGGATCGCGTGTTCGTTTCCAATCGTCCTGGAATTATTTCAAAGGCGGTTCCGCATTTCCGGGATGTCTGAGATAATTGTTTACGCGTGTTCCACCCCATTGAACTCCCGAAGCAAACGCGTGCGTACGCAGCCTAATTTGCCCGATGCGCGAAACCTCGACATTTTGTTTATCAGACGAGTAGCTAAAGTGGGAGACTGCAGCTAAGATAACCGTCTTCGAATAGAGCAGAGAAAAATTTCAGATTTCGTTTATACACAGTGCCATGCATCGTTGGGTTTAGAATTTATGCATCTGAAAAAAATAAAAATCCTTTTAAAGAGAAGATTTCGATTTCGGTAGAAAAATAGAGAGCTTACGCGTGTCGGTTTCGCTTCGACGAGGGGGTTGGGGGTATTTCGTTTGAAGCGCAGGGGTGGCGTCAACCGAATACAGCGAGACTTTTAGGTTGGTCCGATAAACAATCGAGAAGTGTTGCATAGAAATCGGCGTCCATTACTTACCGATCTTCCCTAGTGGCTCGGGCAAGGATTCGCACCCACTCGATCACAGTGATTCGACAAGCATGATAGTTTTTCAAGGGAAAGCTTCTGCACTCTGTTAACGCTTTATTTACCGCGATTAATAGCCTTGTCGTCAATAACCGAATCGTGTTCAAGAGTTTCAACTTTTAAATAATAATCTCGAAAGAACTTGTTTCATTCTATTAATGTGAATATAATTTGATAGAATATAGATGAGATTTTTCTTTAAAGAAATTCTAAACCGTTGTTGTCTTCGAGTTTAAAAGAACTGCCGGTAGATAAAGCGTTAAATCTGCTACAATCCAAGAGACTTTGACGATCACAGTGAGTCAGAATATATAAAGTCTATTAAATTATTTGTGTAATTAATGACCAATTCTTTCAGAACGATGCGGTCGGTTTTCAACCCTTGCCTGCAAAGGGTGGTTTTTGTTAATAGAGACTGCTGCCGATGGAAAAATAGACGGATAAGTAATACCCGAAGAATTGCAATCGGTGACAGCAAGAATACTAAAAAAAGTCCTAACAAACGTATCCCTGAAACTAGCAAAACCTGTCGCAGTCACCGACACACGAGGTAGTAGCGAGCACTTCCCCGAGCCACGTAAAAGAGGTTTGTAGTCCGTAGAACGAGAGATTCAACTAAAAACGAGACATAAAGGAGGTAAAAACGAAAACGAGAAACGTCTGTGCCGCGTAAGGAGAAAAAGAAGAGGACGGTGGACAGGACGAAGGGACCCGGGGAGAGGGGAAACGGATGGCATGGTCTTCGTACGGTGGAAGTCGAATCGGAGGGACACCGGTGGTGCGGAGGATATGGCGTTTTCTCGCGATACGCAGGCACACGCTCGCAACGAAACGGAAAGAAAGAAGAAAAAGGATAATCGTTTGACGCGCGAGAAGCAAACGGCGAGACAGAGGAGTCTCGCGATCGCTCGGCAAATCGATGCTTTCTTTTTAATGAAAGGCAGTGGGGGGTGGAGCGACTCGCTCACCTGCAGTATCGGCAGATGCAGGTGCGGGCGCGGGTACCGGGGCGGCAGGAGCTGAAGTTCGCGCCGCTCTTCTCCTCTCCTCCTCGTCGCGCAGCGCGGCTTGTTCCCGTGCTTGCCTTAACCGATGCTCCTCCTCCAGTTTCAGCCTGAAAACGGGAATCGTGTCGTTTACTCAAACAGGAGACCGGTGCCAACGAGTCGGGCCTGGATACCTATGGCTGCACTCGCCTTTCAAAAAGTCTAACGACCGAGATACTTGTTCTTCCGTCTTTAGAAAATTTCACATTTAAACTTTTCTACGGACGCTTCTTCGGATCTCGCTACTTTCTAAGACGCTATTGTGAAAGCTACGATAACTCTGATTGCTGACACTGCTCACTGCTCGATGCTACACAAGAGATACTAGTTCCCTGGATGACTTTTAATTATTCTACAGACATATCTTCGAGTTTCACAATTCTTTCAGGACCGTGGAAGTTACAGCTAACTTTGATAATTCTATGGGCTCTGTCTCGATATGCTGCAGCGTTCGAATTTGTCTCGTATAGAACGCTAAAAGTTAACAGAGTGTCTCGAAGCGAATGCAGCCAAGAAAATGCGAGCAACGTCGTCGCATCCCACTTACCGTTCGTGCATCACGGGGGACATCAGTCCGATGGACGCGGGCGGCAGCATGTCCGGGCTGTATCTTAACCCGTAGAGCGGATACGAAGGCAGCCCGGGGAACAACGGCGGTCTCAGCATTCCACACCGTTCCAGATACAACTGTTCCTCGAATCTGTGAACCGGGAACAAGGAGAGCACGATTAATATTAATTCGCCAATTTCTCCTAAAGCGTCGGTAGAACGACGATCGTCGCCCAACCCTTTTCAATTGAGAAGAAACGATCGAGACCTAGAGAATGTTCTCCAAGTTTCGATCGTTGCGGATAGAAATGTTCACGCGTTAAGCAATCGGATACAGGATACATTTTAGACTATAAATTAATATCGTGCCTCGAGGAAATTTGTCGGATGATAGTTTTCATGGGTCTGTCGAAGGAAAAATTATGCTTATTCTATTTCCGATTGTGGCAAGAAATCTGGAAGGTTGGGCGACGTTCCACGGGAGATTTCCGACTGGAAAGTACCTATAAGCGTGTTGGAGGTGTGGCGGTGGGTAGAGACCATGGTGATAAGGGCTGTAGGCCGCAGGATCCAGGGCGAAGGCCGGTGGAGCATGGGCCGGATGGTGCTCGGGCCGATACGGCTGGAAACCGGAACGGGCCAGCAAATCGGAAGCTGCGGCTGTCACGCTGTGTTTGCTGGTGTCAGCGGGTCTTGCGGTCGTGTACAACGAGGGAATCTCTTCGGGTCTTCTCTCATGAGTAGACCGCTCCTAAAATTCAGACACGAAACGATCGTCAAAACTAATCCTTATCGCGATCTCGCGATAGGACACTAATTTCTGACAGCATTTTTATTTGGGTAAATAGAATTGCTTTTGCGAGGAGGAAATTGCTGGCTGTCAAAAGTGTCAGAGAGGGGCCATTCGAAGGTCGGTTTCTTTCGGAACAGAGGACGACTGCTTACCTTGGCAGGGGAAGGACCCCTGACCAGAGGGGGCGGGGCCCGATTCTTGGGACTCGCGCGAGGTTCTTCTTCCTGAGGTGCCGGCCCTGCCTGTTTCGCCAGGTTCCTCAAGGCGGCGGCAAAGCTTCTGCTGTTTTGCTGACTACCTGGGCCGGGCCCAGGTGTATGACCCTGAGGTAAAACACCGGAACTGGGCCTGTGGGACTTGCTGATCGCGGTGGGTTGCGCTTTGGTGCTGGCCGGCTGAAGACCTGGAGCAGACGCAAATGGCACGCGTATGTTAGTAAAAAATCTCCGACGATGCAGCAACAAAAACTACGTCAACGGATCTTATTTTTGTTAGCGAAATAGAAGGTTGGCAATTTTTAATCTATTATTATTAAAAATTGCGAAGACGCTTTCATCGGAAATTATTAACGCTGAACCTGCCATGCGGGGCGCACAGGTTAAATTTTCAAATTGACGGAATTATCCTCGAAAACGATTAAATAAATTTCTTTATTGTTATAAAAATGTCGAGAAGACTAAAAATAACGTCCAAAAGCACGTTAGTCACTTGCGGAGCTTGATAGGTTTTGCGTTGAATAAATTTATTTATCAGGTACGCGTACCAATCAAATAATTTATAATAAATACTGTATAACGATTCGTACATTTTCACGAACTTTCCTGTCGCACTGTTAACGCTCTGAAATTCGACGATAAACTGAATCGCAAATCATTTAATTCGGCGTTCGGCTGCAAGAATGCGCACAACAAAAAAAAGCTTCGTCACGCGCGAGCGAACCTTCCTTTATGGTGGGCCGCGCTTTGGGTCGCGACCCTCGGCTACCTACCGCGCAATAAAACTGATAATAAACACCGCTAATCCTCGGCCGACCGACATAGTACACAACGGTGGACCTTTATCTCTTTCTTCGACTAGATATCGAAATGAAATTCGGGCCCGTTCATAATACATCGATCAACGCCTTAAAGGGTTCATTTTGGAGAGTCAATCGGTCGGACGCGGTGAAAAATCAAGCAACCGGTTTTCCCATTAAAAGAAAATCGATCGGCCGCGACCGTCGAGCTCTTTGATCTCGGTTTCCCTGAAAGGGAACGCGTAATTTGCCGGCGCGGCGACGATAACCATAAAAGAGAGAGGGAGAGGGTGAGAGACCGCGCGAGAGAGACAGAGATAATAGCGTGTCGCTCGATCCGCCGACAGGCATTAATTATTTCCTACGATCGCGGCGGAATATAAATTGCAGTTTTTAATCCGCGCGAACGGGACGATACGGCAATAACTCCGGACGGTGTCTGGCTAATTACAAATTGCTTCGCGCCGATATTTCCCCGCTTCCCGTGCGACTTGACGCGTTGTCGTCGTCGTCGTCGTCGTCCTCGGAGCAGAACGTTGCATACGCCGCGTTGCACCGCGAGCTGCATTATTCCTGTTCGTGGCTCTGGCTTCACGATTTCTCTCCCTCTCCTTCTCTCTCTCTCTCTCTCTCTCTCCCTCTCCCTCTCGATTCGACGACGCGTGCACGCGCTCCTTTCGCTCGATCGGCAAGAGGAAACGCGGCCCTTTGATCTTCGCAAGCTCTTTGCACCGCTCGATGCGAATCTCGAATTCCGCGGGGAACGAGATGAAAAGAGTAAGCGGTTCGGAAGAACTTTCGAGCACGATCTCTATCGGCAAGACGTCGATCCCCGAGAGCCAACCCCTTATTTCTCGCCACCCTGCGCCCTCTTATTCTTCCTTCCAACCTTCCTTCCTTCCACCCTTCCTTCCTTCCTTCCTTCCTTCCTTCCTCCTTTCATCGTTTTTTCTGGAAATCAAGCGTCAGCTGAGGCAAAGGCATCCGGACGGTCCTTTGTCTGCAACCGGCAAACTCGATTCCGTATAAGTAGCGGCTCTTTACGCGGCATCCGAAAGCTGCATAGATCGCGTTTGATCGACACGATCCAACTGTGATTGCGGAACATCCAGCATTCGCTGCGGTGCAATGCGGGCGCGATGCGATCTCTGTCTACGAGAACGATCGCAATGAAAGTAGTGCTACAGTAATGTCTCCCTTATTGATTTGGGAAGAGGAGATGCAATTATTCGAGCTTTGTGGTTTATTTGTATAGCCACGAATTATCAATGATTATAAAAACGAGCCGCAAGGCTCGAATAATCGTGTCTCCTCTTCCCAAATTGTTCATTTTAGTGGACAATCTGAGCGTCAGTAAGGGAGACATTACTCTATATCTTGAGCAACGAATCGTGTACTTTGACCGAAGATTTTCTAACAGCGACGCGTACAACGAATCGAATGGAAAAGCGATGGAAATAATCATCCCTTCGAGTGCTCCAGTCGAAGACCGCCTAGTCTGGGACAACATCCTGGCCCTGCGCGTGTGCGACGCAGCCTCCGGTTGAAACGAGAAAATAACCGTGGATCGAGAGAGAGAGAGAGAGAGAGAGAGAGAGAGAGAGAGAGCTGTCTCTTATACACAGCTAGATGTGTATAAGAGACAGCGCTTAGATTGCGCACGAAATTGGACAATTTGGGAAGAGGAGATACGATTATTCGACCCTTGCGGCTCGTTTTGATAATTGTAGACAATTTATAACTATAACGATGAATCGCGAGGCTCGAATAATCGTATCTCCTGTCTCTTATACACAGCTAGATGTGTATAAGAGACAGCGCTTAGATTGCGCACGAAATTGGACAATTTGGGAAGAGGAGATACGATTATTCGACCCTTGCGGCTCGTTTTGATAATTGTAGACAATTTATAACTATAACGATGAATCGCGAGGCTCGAATAATCGTATCTCCTGTCTCTTATACACAGCTAGATGTGTATAAGAGACAGCGCTTAGATTGCGCACGAAATTGGACAATTTGGGAAGAGGAGATACGATTATTCGACCCTTGCGGCTCGTTTTGATAATTGTAGACAATTTATAACTATAACGATGAATCGCGAGGCTCGAATAATCGTATCTCCTGTCTCTTATACACAGCTAGATGTGTATAAGAGACAGCGCTTAGATTGCGCACGAAATTGGACAATTTGGGAAGAGGAGATACGATTATTCGACCCTTGCGGCTCGTTTTGATAATTGTAGACAATTTATAACTATAACGATGAATCGCGAGGCTCGAATAATCGTATCTCCTGTCTCTTATACACAGCTAGATGTGTATAAGAGACAGCGCTTAGATTGCGCACGAAATTGGACAATTTGGGAAGAGGAGATACGATTATTCGACCCTTGCGGCTCGTTTTGATAATTGTAGACAATTTATAACTATAACGATGAATCGCGAGGCTCGAATAATCGTATCTCCTGTCTCTTATACACAGCTAGATGTGTATAAGAGACAGCGCTTAGATTGCGCACGAAATTGGACAATTTGGGAAGAGGAGATACGATTATTCGACCCTTGCGGCTCGTTTTGATAATTGTAGACAATTTATAACTATAACGATGAATCGCGAGGCTCGAATAATCGTATCTCCTGTCTCTTATACACAGCTAGATGTGTATAAGAGACAGCGCTTAGATTGCGCACGAAATTGGACAATTTGGGAAGAGGAGATACGATTATTCGACCCTTGCGGCTCGTTTTGATAATTGTAGACAATTTATAACTATAACGATGAATCGCGAGGCTCGAATAATCGTATCTCCTGTCTCTTATACACAGCTAGATGTGTATAAGAGACAGCGCTTAGATTGCGCACGAAATTGGACAATTTGGGAAGAGGAGATACGATTATTCGACCCTTGCGGCTCGTTTTGATAATTGTAGACAATTTATAACTATAACGATGAATCGCGAGGCTCGAATAATCGTATCTCCTGTCTCTTATACACAGCTAGATGTGTATAAGAGACAGCGCTTAGATTGCGCACGAAATTGGACAATTTGGGAAGAGGAGATACGATTATTCGACCCTTGCGGCTCGTTTTGATAATTGTAGACAATTTATAACTATAACGATGAATCGCGAGGCTCGAATAATCGTATCTCCTGTCTCTTATACACAGCTAGATGTGTATAAGAGACAGCGCTTAGATTGCGCACGAAATTGGACAATTTGGGAAGAGGAGATACGATTATTCGACCCTTGCGGCTCGTTTTGATAATTGTAGACAATTTATAACTATAACGATGAATCGCGAGGCTCGAATAATCGTATCTCCTGTCTCTTATACACAGCTAGATGTGTATAAGAGACAGCGCTTAGATTGCGCACGAAATTGGACAATTTGGGAAGAGGAGATACGATTATTCGACCCTTGCGGCTCGTTTTGATAATTGTAGACAATTTATAACTATAACGATGAATCGCGAGGCTCGAATAATCGTATCTCCTGTCTCTTATACACAGCTAGATGTGTATAAGAGACAGCGCTTAGATTGCGCACGAAATTGGACAATTTGGGAAGAGGAGATACGATTATTCGACCCTTGCGGCTCGTTTTGATAATTGTAGACAATTTATAACTATAACGATGAATCGCGAGGCTCGAATAATCGTATCTCCTGTCTCTTATACACAGCTAGATGTGTATAAGAGACAGCGCTTAGATTGCGCACGAAATTGGACAATTTGGGAAGAGGAGATACGATTATTCGACCCTTGCGGCTCGTTTTGATAATTGTAGACAATTTATAACTATAACGATGAATCGCGAGGCTCGAATAATCGTATCTCCTGTCTCTTATACACAGCTAGATGTGTATAAGAGACAGCGCTTAGATTGCGCACGAAATTGGACAATTTGGGAAGAGGAGATACGATTATTCGACCCTTGCGGCTCGTTTTGATAATTGTAGACAATTTATAACTATAACGATGAATCGCGAGGCTCGAATAATCGTATCTCCTGTCTCTTATACACAGCTAGATGTGTATAAGAGACAGCGCTTAGATTGCGCACGAAATTGGACAATTTGGGAAGAGGAGATACGATTATTCGACCCTTGCGGCTCGTTTTGATAATTGTAGACAATTTATAACTATAACGATGAATCGCGAGGCTCGAATAATCGTATCTCCTGTCTCTTATACACAGCTAGATGTGTATAAGAGACAGCGCTTAGATTGCGCACGAAATTGGACAATTTGGGAAGAGGAGATACGATTATTCGACCCTTGCGGCTCGTTTTGATAATTGTAGACAATTTATAACTATAACGATGAATCGCGAGGCTCGAATAATCGTATCTCCTGTCTCTTATACACAGCTAGATGTGTA